CATACCAGCATAGACAGAATGAAACATACGAGGTACACGGTCAGTAGAAATACATATACAAGTCCACCAAGAGGTAAGGAGGGAGGAAAGACGGACAGGAAGGCAGAGAGAGAGAGGGGTGGGGGGTCGGAGGGATGAACAGAAGCTTAAATAGGAAATACAGTTGGAGGGGGCCCCTCCCCCCCTCCAACTGTGATCGAAACGTGATTGTTTTTTGTTTTAATATAATTTTATTGTATTTCTACATACGTGACTTTACCGAAAAAACCAATGAGTAATTTTATGCAGTCACGAAAGCTTTAATACTTTAAAAAGTTAAGATACCTGTCATTTCCATACACTTCTCACAATCCTGTACTCGGAGCACTAAAAGTAAATCACTATTTTATATTATAAAATGCCAATGTAATATATATTGCGAGTTTTCTTTATTCTTCATAGAACATTCTGGTAAAATAATTAGATTTGTACCAGCACAAAGTGAACCGTGTCAGTCTTTTGTAGTTTGCTACGCCTCCTTTGGTGTCGCTGTCAATTACACGTCTTCCAAACTTCTTTCACCGTTTCAACTGAATGTTTATTTGTCCCATGGAAAACCCCGATTGGCCAGTTACCCAGCAGAGTTTCGGTGGCAACCGCCTGTAGCCACGAACAATAGTATTGCTGGGGTGGAGAGGTGCCCAGCCAAAATCCAGTCAGGAAACTCGAGGTATAGATTATTTTTAATAGTGTGATTTAACATTTTGAATTATGTAGTGACTATGCACCCGGATCTCAAGACAGCGTATAGACACACTGGGCGTATTTATTTTGCAAAAGGCAGTCGGGTTGTAGGCCGAGAGATTAAGGGAAAGGCTTGAGCCTGGGCTTGAACAAGGCCCGGGAGTCGACAGCACAGAAGGCTGGATGGAATGAGGAGACAAGTGAGCGACCTCTTAATTGAGCGTAGGTTGACAGGAGGCTTCGACGTCGAGTCTTGTTTGCAAGAGTGGAGAATGCATTTGGGGAGAGGGGAGAGGTGTAGGCAGGGGGGAAGTCCATGGAGAGGATCTTGAAGATAGTGGGGGTGATATTGAAATTGATCCGGCTTTGGATTGGGAGCCTGGGGAGTGATTGGAGTATTGGGGTAATGTCTCATTTACGGGTGAGGGTGAGGAGTCTGGCAGCAGCATTCGAGATCAGCTGGAGTTCTAGATCAGCTTGAGTGTATCTAGATCAGCTGGAGTTCACGGATGAGGGATTTGGGATGGCTGAGTTGCATAAGCTGAGTCTGGATTTCATGTGATGAAATCATTCATTGAATTGTCCCCCACCTCACCTCTCCCGACTCATACTCTCTGCCCCCATTATCCAAGGACTTGTATTGACACCACCAGCTAACCTCTGCTCACTGGATGGTTGCTCCTCTTGCTCTGCTGCCTGTTGTCTGGAATTCAATCCACCTTGTTGCCCATATTTCTGATGCCATCCATCTGTTCAAGTCTTGCTCAAGACCTCCCTCTTCTCCTTTGTCTATGACCCAACTGCCTTCCCATTCGATGTCTTCAATGCCATTCTTACTACACTGTAGCATTTTATAATACATCTTCCAATGCATTCTTTCATTCACCTTTCTCCCTAACTTGCATCTACCACTTCACTACAGCACCTTGACTTTGTTGGACATAGCCACTCGATACTCGTAAATTAAATTTGTTTTGTGTGACCTACTGTAACCTGGCTAACAAATTCAATACAAAAGCAATGCTTCACCTGGCCAGGATGTTAATAGCATCTAACTCATCCAATTAGGTCGTACAGACCGTGTCCGTTGGTGTTTCTGCTACGGAGTGATAAATAGGGAATGCCTTTGCCTGATTACCGCTGAATTTGATTAATTGCCTTGGTCTTAAATTTTGATTTAAAGCTTTCGTGACTGCAGTGATTCATATTCTTGGTTCTTTCGGTAAAGTCACGTTGAAGGGAAACAATAAAATAATAAAATATATATAAAGCAATAAAATTCTCACGACGTTTCGACTGTACAGTCAAAACGTCGTGAGAATTTTATTGTTTAATATATATTATTATTTTATTGTTTCGCTTCAACGTGACTTTACCGAAAGAACCAAGAATATGCCTTGGTCTTACGAAAGAGTCCGCTCCCATACTAATTGGACCAGGATTGATGTCCCACAGACAACAGGGTAAGGGATGTCGACGTTTAATTTAAATACAGATGTTTTGAGCGGTTGACCATTTTTCAATTAAATGGTCTATGCAGCTTTCTGTCCGTGAATGGTCTGTATATTAAGGTGTACGCGTGTAAATTTTGATTTAAAGCTTTCGTGACTGCAGTGATTCATATTCTTGGTTCTTTTGGTAAAGTCACCACGTAGAAGGGAAACAATAAAATAATAAAAATATAAACAATACAATTCTCACGACGTTTCGACTGCAACACAAGCAATCATCATCAGGTGTGAAAACCACAGCAAGAAAATTTGAAAAAAGTGGCGGTTATTTTTAACGTTAGCACCACGGAGAGCGATTTGACAGTTTGTTCAGATAGACGAGTCCATCTATGTTCGGAAAAGAGGAGGGGGGAGACGAAAATAATGGATGTGGTCTGAAAGCCACCGTAAGCGTGAACAATCAATTAAGACCCGAAATGGTTTATCAAATCCTTCCAATGATTGCTATGCAAGATCCAGGTCCGATTCAACACATTACATAAAATCCGTGATCTGGTTCCGTCTGTAAAAGATGTGATTCAAACTAAGTTGCCTGAAATCAAACGACATGTCTCGGACTGCATTCGTGAACACAAAGCAAACCTAAAACACGGTAGGAGCAACACCTCGGCCGTGGCAGATCACTGTTATAATTCAGTAGGCTCACATGACATTGACTTCTCCAAGACAGAGGTTCTTTGCAAGCCATCTGGCTACCATGAGAGATTCGTTCATGAGGCTATCCACATATACAAACACAGAGACAATTTCAACCGAGAAGATGGATTCTGGCTTAGCAATCATTGGAAGGTTTTGATAAACCATTTTGGGTCTTAATTGATTGTTCACGCTTACGGTGGCTTTCAGACCGCATCCATTATTTTCGTCTCCCCCCTCTTTTCCGAACATAGATGGACTCGTCCATCTGAATAACTTCCAAATCGCTCGCCGTGGTGCTAACGTTAAAATAACCGCCACTTTTTTCAAATTTTCTTGCTGTGGTTTTCACACCTGATGATGATTGCTTGTGTTGCAGTCGAAATGTCGTGAGAATTTTATTGTTTTATATTTTTATTAGTTTATTGTTTCCCTTCTACGTGACTTTACCGAAAGAACCAAGAATATGTGTGCGCGTGTGTAGGTACATGTGTGGTAGCAGTGTCATAGTTGTCCATGCACAGCGCTATCATTGCAGCGACCTTGGTTTGACCCAGATTCAGTTGCGTAACAATAGTGGGCATCTGGTCTGGGCTTATTTTCGAGACAAAAAAAGACAGTATCTGTTGCAGTGGTGTTGTTAACGTCATCTGTGGCAAAATGGTTGTGGCCACGGCGTTCATCATACAGCCTTCAATTGTGTTGTGCCAAATCTTAATATATACAGACGAACACCAACCTCACTCATGCAGTCCACAAGGCTAAACAGACTGCATGGATATTATTATTATTTTTGCTTGAACAATACCATCATTTTGACGATCCCCTGATTGTGCTGGTTGTAATCACCGGTGAAATGTCTGACTCAATCGTAAGCCTTGTGGCTTTGCGCTTTCTCACACACAGTGGTGCCAAAGGAGTCGTACATTGCCACGTTTTGTTCACGTAACAAACCTTACTAATTGTCTGTGTCGGGTGGAGATGGGTGTACGACACGTTTTTACATTTGCGAGATCTAACCCAAACACTTGACCGTGAATAATATTGGTTGCTGAAGCTTACGTGTTAATTTTTTTTGTACAAATGTGCTTCTTATCATTTAACAGATGTAGGAATATCGAAAAAAAATATTATTCTTATTGATTACACATGTACGGCTATATATGCGCCCCCGATGTTATTAATTATATCTTTAACCTCTCACTATCTGCGCATGCAATACCATTTGCTTCCTTGCCAAATTCACTGGAAAAATCTCGCAAAAGAAAAGCGGATAGATTGCTGTGCACTTGTTCGTGTGTGTCTATTTGTGCCTTATCCTTCTCCGATATTTCTTGAAATTAAAGCCATAGCTTATATGATAGGGCAAAGTACACATTCAAAATGACCATTAACATTCGAGGGTCGGCAGGATAATGTGGTGTGTGTGTCCGTGCGCACGAACAGTACATGTGCGTGTATTTCAGGCTATGGTGAGGAGCGGTAGAGTAGCAGTTAGCGCGCTGCGCTGCGAACCCAACGACCCAAGTTCAGCTCGCGCTCACGGCCAACACCGTTGACGATTAGATGAACCAGCGGTGTGTAGATGACAGCATTGGGGAGATAAAGACGGTCGGCCATAGTGCTGGTCACCTTGTGTGCTGTGCGGGCCTTCATAGGTGCTCGCTAACAGCACTAGCCCCAACAGTCTGTGGGATATAGCGGTGTAGTGGTTAAACGCACTCTGATCCAATCCTAGTGAGGATGGGTTTCCATAACCAGGCGTGCACATCAGTGATTATTGATACCTGCATCTGTCATGAACGCTGCGGTAGGACATTGCAATGGTTGAGATGAGATGTGTGATGTAAGGTGCTTCGGGGTGCTGAAGAATTGTATGCATGCTACGAATGGAAATCATCATCCTTTGAGCTTCTCTTTAAGTTGACTCGGCCACAAATGAGTGCCTGGGTGGAATTTGTAAAACACATCGGCACAGGGGGAGACGTAGGTAGATGGGCATGGTGCTGGTCACACGAGAACCCCTTTTTGTGTGGTCGTGCCTGTGAGTACATAGCTGTGAAGGTAGGAACCGGCTAAAAGCACGGTATAAACGAGGTGACTCCGTGTACCCTTTGTGCGTGCGTGCAGTCGAAGAAATCGGTCCGTTTGGCCCGATATTCTTTGAGGAGCCGACGGACACGTTGTATCCAGAGGATTCGCCGGAAAAAACCGTGACCCTACGCTGCCTTGCCAAGTCAAATCCACCCGCTACGTACAGGTACCGTGGGGGCTGTGGGGCACTGCCGAGGGCCACGAGCGGTGGCGGGCGCGGCGCTGAGGCCCAAGCAAACCGAGCAAAACTTTAGGCCCCCCCCTCCCACTCCCAAGCAGCTCAGAGGGGGGAGGGAGGGGGAGGGGCCCTGGATTCATGAAAAAATATGGATGCAACAAATGTCAGTTCGAACTCGTTTTCTTATTTAAAAAAAAAATACAGATTATTTTATTCTAATCGCACTTTTAAGTAATTTAAATTATACTAGGCCCTAAAGTTTTGCTCGGGCAACTGTAGGGTCTGCAAAAGCTTCCGTTATCCATGACCCGATTGCTGTTCTCCGCGATTTTATCAAAAATGCAAAGCAAAGCGGCCTCCTCTTAGATTTTTGACACAGGTGACACTCGCTATGATCACGAGGCGACACGAATACGCGTAGACGTGGAGATAAAAAGACAAAATTGGAGACTGGGCACAAAGAAAAACTGGAGAAACAGAGACTTGAATACACACGGAGACGCAGAGACAAACATAGAAACACACGCAAAAAGACAGACGCAGAGGAATGGATACAGACACGGAGACACACCAAGACACACAGAAAGATAAAAGACAAAGAGAGACAGAAAGACAAGATACACCCTTCACAAACACGTACACTACACAAGTTAAAAGAAATGTACTGTAACATCTCCACCTTTGCGTGTGTGTCTTTGTATATCTGTGTGTTTTGCATGTCTCCTTGTTATTGTGTTATCATGTGTCTGTATCCCCGTGTGTATGTGTGTGTCTCGATCTCCGTTTCTGTTGCTCACATGCAGTTACAGAGACAGACGAGACGTGTCGTAGACGCACCACCTGTTCACCCGTGTACAAACACGCTGCACTTCTAGGACCTCTGATGCATTTTAAAAACTTATTTCAGGCAATTTGTTTGTGGATAAAAGGAGTCACGTGGTAAATTAACCCTATTACTTGCGGGGTCATCCGTGAATCTCTCCCTCGGGGATAAGAGGAGTAAAATTGCGGATCACCCTGCGGATAATAGGATCCACGATATCGGTCTCCCATATCACCGTAGATAAGAGAAGTTCTCTAGCGTCTCCAATACATGCTCGTGGTTATGTGACATACCACAAAAAAAATTCTGCTTGGGTCCCCCAATGGGCAAGCATACATCTGTTTTGCACATAGGGTTGGTGGCTTTTGTAAAATATCAGCTCATCATTATGTGCACTTACGTTGGAGTATTTTGCACGTAAATAAACTTGCACGCTTATGGTTAAAGTTGTTTGCAGCCATACAAATAGCATGGCTTTATATACAATATGAGTGTCCTCCAATTAAAGGTGTGGATTTCAACCACACTCAACCATACTTAGGAGTAATTCATTGTTTGGACATCACAACCACAACTACCTTTTTTGAAAACCCGAGTTTGATTTCTGGCCACATGTAACAGTGGCAGGTTGAATATTAACCTGGCATCCTGGGCCAATTCCTAGGTCTGCTCAGCCTAAATTCATTCCTGATGCAGTGGGTGAATTGTCAGTGCAAGAGATTAAGTTTCAAGCTTATGTTGTTTAACCAGGTAAGAACTCAAGAGACCAGCATGAGTCTCGTTTGGAATAGTGGCCTGAAGGCTGATGTGTACCCCTGTGTCATTTTGGCCTTAACAGTCACTCGCACAGCAGTCGTCCTACGGTCGACTGCAGGGCTTATCAAACTCTTAATCGTTTACCAGTCTTCTCAATTTCAATGTAGATTGGCTTTTTTTAATATTACATGCACCTGGTGGTTGATTGGTAGAATACTGGACCTTGAAAATCCTTGGTCTGTAAATTCATACAATCTAGTTGTCAGTCTTCGTGAGCCGTACTTTCATATATTTTTTTCTTCGAATGCATCGTAGATGGCGTCACAATGGCACGGAGATCAAGTGGAATAAGAGATACAGCCTGGAGGGCGGAAACCTGGTGATCTCGGACCTAGACAGGGACCAGGACGCGAGCACCTTCCAGTGCCTGGCCACCAACCGCTTTGGCACCCTTGCCAGCAAACAAGCCACGCTAAAGTTCGCCCGTGAGTGGAGCTGGGCGACGGTGATGGGGGGAGGAGGCTCAAGGATCGTGGTTCCAGTGTGTCCTTGAAATGCTATAGTTCAGGGGCAGCGTTGTCCCGCCATAGAGGTGTTTTTTTTTTTAAACAAAGCCTTGTTATTTCCATGAAGACCAAACTGTACCACTTGTAATTGTATGTTTTAATGCTCAAAATATTACAAAACAACAAATGAACCTCATGGCGGGACCCTGGGGTCCTGAATAAACGGAAGTCAAATTCTTAATTTTTTTATTTTTGGCGACTCCGTCCCCACCGTGCACATAAATGCCGTGACCCACCTGGCGCGGATCGTTCTGTTGTCACGTCATGCCCAAGCGCAGCAGCAGCGAGGACGAATATGCAGAAGAGCTGAACAAGCGAATGCACTCCACGCTCGGGTATGGGCAGGATCATAACAAGTCTTATCCAAAGCTGCTCAAACTGCCTACACGACTTAAGTCCTTTATTTATCAAAACGGTATGCAAAATACAGTGAAGCTGCTCTCTTATCTTCATTATTATTTGTGAGCTACCAATGTCTGCAGCCAGGATCAATCGATGACGATCATACAACCTGCAGATATTTAACAAATGAAATGCATTGCACCGTTAATTCCTCCTGTTTGATAATACAACTCTTGTCCGTATACATCTGTGCAGATAGGTTTTTTTTGCGATTAAGCCATCGTCCCCACATACCGCTCGTATCAATGCGGATAAGAGGAGCGGCGACCCACTACTCTGTAGAGTAACATTGGTATAAACGCTTGTTACAATATGAACAGCGCATTGAAAACGCGTACTATTTTATGTACTGTTTACAAAGTGTGTTCACAAATCCACACTGAGAAACATGATTGACAGAGGGGTGTAAATAATTTTTTCGATAGTGTATTTAAATAGAGGTACTGCAGGTAAGTAGTTTTCAGTTTTAAAGGGGATAGTTTAACAAAACAACACTTGCCACCATCCTTCAAACCCATTGGTGAAAAAGAGCAAAGTGTTTGTTTACATTATAATATAATGTTTATGCGAGAGCCGGGGGATTATGGGTCCTGCCCTGAGGTTCGTATGCATAATTCATAATTTCATGAATACAATGTAATAAATCGCAGTGCAATGTGCCGGCAACATCTTAACTTTTAATACAAAAGAGCGTATTTAGTAATACTTTTTGATCATTGAAGGGTCTGTCTTGTTACTCAGTAAACGTTTAAAAAAATGTAATTCTCACTGGGCCCCTTGGTGTAGAGTGCAGTTTCCAGCCCTTGTTAACGCCAACCATGAAGAAGGGTCATCGCCTGAAACGTTGCCTGTTATATATGTAAGGCAGCGTTATTGATGGAATGTGTTGGTGTAAGTTATAAAGCCACGTATGGAAATTAAAGGAACTTGATTGGTCTGGAGGTGTGGTGAAGCAATACTGTATTGCAGAGTAGCTACAGTACTAATTTGGGATTGTCTGCCATGTGGTGCTGCTGCATAGGGTTGAGATGCAGCTCATAACAAGGCAGCGTTGCTATGCACCGTAATTCAATCTTGAGCTTCGGAATTGTGGTTTATAAATATGTATTTCTTGTTAGGAATTCACCACCCCAAACAATACAGCCTGTTGTTTCTGGTTATTGGGCATGAGATGATTTGGAAATGATGTAACAAATCCTTGATTTGTTATTTGTGGAGTCCCATACATGCCTGCATGTAGGCATCCACCATCGCACACACCACCGCGGTATCATGAGGATGACGTGAGAGCGATATGGCGTGGCCGCAATAATTCCCAGAGCAGTGATTTCAGAGCGCCCTGGCTGTCACTGCATCCGCCGGGCTTCCAGATGCGCTTTTGCGGCGCGTCTGGAACGCACTTCCGTCCGTTATTCAGAAGCTACCGGAGCAATGCACTTTTAAATCGCCAAGATTGAAAACGAATTTCTTGAGAACAGATTTTCGTGCTGAGTTTTGTCCTTCCTCGGCACCTCCGATTAGCATGATTGGCTTTGTACAGTGCGAAAGAAGCTCTGCATACATACATACAAACGTACGTACGAAAATGAGGCACTCGCATGCAAACCTTGTAAAACGTGGCCGGGTGCTTTCACAGCTCTACATTTGCAAGGTTGTGCAGTGCAAGGGCAATAGGCTAATGTGTGAGCAGAAGGTGACGGTAGCAGCACACAGGGTCACACCCGCCACTGTAATTGTTTCAAGCAGGAGACTGATTTGAAATTATTCCATTTAATTTGACACACGTATTATTTATAGTATACCATGCAGCCCAGGGCCAAATCTGTTTTCAGGCTGTAGATGTGAATGATGTGTGTGTGCTGTTCGGATTTTTTTTTTATACATTGACATTCTGTGGAGATCAGGGGAGTTTCATTTTAAATTGGTAAGAAATATAATACATTACACATTTGACTTTACAGACAATTTTTTATTGTACCCTATCTTCAAATTAATAATAATTTTAAAAAATGTGTAAGGTGCCTTCCACTAATGTCTGAAGGCGCCTTCTAAGAATAACGTTAAGGAAAGGCCAAGAGAGAAGGAGCGATACATAAAATAAACAGAATTAAGAAGATGTGGTTTTTCGACGCGACTTATTATCTTTTAAACGAATTTCCAAATGTAGGGAATTCCACAACCGAGGCGCAGACACAGCAAATGCCCACTCACCCCAAGAACTCAGCCGGGATTGAGGTACGCAGATCTTAACGACCTTGAGGGGGTGTGAACGGATGAATTAGCTCGTGAATATATGGTGGTGTCAGCCCACGGAAGGCTTTAAAAACTTGTAGAAGGCTCTTAAACTCTACTCGTTTCAAGAGCGGTCGCAAGTGTGATGATAAGTGAACTGGAGAAATGTGGTCAGGTGATGGGGTTCGGGTGAGCACCCTTACTGCTGCATTCTGTACAATTTGTCGTCTACCAAGGACTTCATTTGAAACACAGCTTCGTGTGTACGTACACAACCCTTCTGCTTTTAAAAACAGTAGATACAAATTAGAGTGTAAATGAAAGTGTGGGATCAACATCGGTTGCCCTATGATGAGACTGGACCCTGCCATGGCAATGTAAAATTTCCACCATGGGTCGAGGGTTAGCCACAGAGATGAGCCATGCCATTGGTAATTCGAACAGGAAAAAAATGGCTTTCAGTTTTTCATGGTTTCAAGTTATAATAGTGCCAGTCATCATATTCATGATTATTAGCATCGATATTGTCATAATCGTCATCAGATTCCCACAGGGTTACTTGAGACCAAACAAAACTCCATCGCCTCAGTAAATTTCCCTTCGTAACAAGATTCGCACTGCAAGGTCGCTCCAAAAAATAAATCTAATGAATTAAATCCATTCTAACGAGATCTTTCCACCTTGGGGAAGGCTTACTCCACGTTCTATTCCCCTCAGCTCGCTGGCTAATGTGACCTTGCGGGTTCCTCCTGTTTGGCATTCTGCAGTCGTAACCATCGTAACAAAGTTTCCCTCTCCTGAATTATTACACTAAGTGCTGTCTGCTTGGATCTATGACTGTGCCTGTCATTGGATAAATCGGGTCAGCTGTTCATCACTGCTAAAAATACCACTGTTATGGAATACAACCTCCTTATTTGTTTCCTAATGACAATATTTTCTGAGGACCATAGTCATTATAAGAAGCAATGGAACGTATGATTCGCAATAGATTTTTGGGTCAGATTTCCATGTCAGTAAAATGTGTGTCATGCACCCTCATCCACCCGACAGCTAATTAATTAAGTAGGCATGGGACCCATGCTGAACAACGAAAATTGATTAGGGCAAATTATTTCAAGAGCCTAATAAAGACAGCTGGAATGTATGTGTGTTGAACAATCTTTCGCAACCATACGTAGCCAACCGTGCTTGTTGGAGGTGCGGGGGAAGGACAACGATCTAAACATGAAAAGCAGTTTCGAAAGAAATTAGTTTTCGATCTAGATTATTTAAAAAGTGCGTAGCTCCAGTGGCTTCCTAATATCGGAAGGAAGAGCGTTCCAGACGGCAGCAGAAGCGCATCTGAAGGCGAGTGATCATCTTTGTTCGATGGCTAGCCAACTGCTGCTGCTGCTGCTGCGAGGATGACTGGAGTTCGCGTGATGGTTTATGCTCCTTGACGAGATCACCAAGGTGTTGTGGTCCATTTGTGGCAATGTTGGGCGTGGCAATGTTGGGCTTGGCATAAAAAAAAACGAGTCAAACAAAAGTGGGGTTACCACAAGTTTGAGTCACAACTTAAGTGGGAAACATCATTTGTTCGTGTATACCCAGGGGAATGAATGAATGAAGGCGGACCAGGGTGAAATAACGAGGCGAGTTGAAGCAGGCTCGACCGCTGTTGGAAAACTGAACTTGATAATGAAAAGCCAACAGCCCAGTGCGGCCAGGGGCCGGGCCCTAGGAGTGTGCGAGGGGGTAGGGGGGGAAATCTGAGGAGGAGGAGGAGGCACCGTCGCTATCTCTAACAGGTGTCGTTATGTTCACGGTAATTCAATTACTGTACTGAGGCGTGTGACGTTAGCTGGTATTGATGTTGCTACTCGCAACTGCTTTTCCAGGTTTGCTCCTAGATTTATTGAATTTCGAGTCCCGCCTGCGGTTGCCTTGGCAAGGCAAGAACCAAATGATTTCGTGGGCCTTATACGGCCCGCGGGCCGGACGTTCCCCACCCCTGATTTAAACGAACGGTTAATACTTATCTTGAATGTACACATCCAGCTGTTTGGTGCTTCGGATGAAGATTGCCCGTTCAAATTTTGTACACCGGTCAGCCGAGCTCATCACCCCGATGGGGTTGATAAAATCAGTGCCACGTTGTGGGATCTTGGAAGTGGCTATGCTACGGGGAAGCTGCACTTTGATGTGGGGATGTGCCCAGAGCCACCGACAGAAAAAAAACACCACACTTGCTTATTTGAGCGGGGATACACAGTCTTAACACAGTCTTAACCTATTGTGCGATTAATGTGATGATTTCATTCTTCGGTGGGTTTTTTTTCTCCTACTTGCCCAGGGATAGACTACCGTAGTTCGTCTGTGTCCTTTCCACTGAGCCAGTTAGAAATAAGCTCGTTAGTAATACAATTGACTCCTCAATTCCCACTGATGGCCAGGACATTTTACAGCGAATTAGTTACTGCAGAAATTTCAGAAAGGCATTCGTTGTCTGCTGTAAAGTGGGCACCAAGGGCAACATCACGTCAGCTTGAGGTAAAATTCGTTTTGCAGTATTACAGCCTAAAATAGAAAATATATTACAATAATGCAATCAGTCAATTCTAATATAAAATTAATATACACTTATGGGGTTGGACACCTCTGATAAACATGATGCATCCGGCATCGGTGTATGATTTTATGTTTTGTGTGTTTTTTGTTTTTTTTATGTGCAGGGGTTTTGATTGAAACAAAAAAACAAACTAATAATGAGTGCGGCAACATTGCTATTCATCACCTTCGGTGGGTGCTGCAAGCTGTGAATTTTTGTTAATTGCGCGTGCCGCTCCAGATCTGGACCGGTTCCCATCGGAGGAGCGGGGCCCTCTGCGCGTGCGGCTGCAGAACAGCCTGGTGCTGCTGTGCAACCCCCCGTCCCACTACCCAGGTGAGTTGTTGTGGTCACTTCCGGGCGGCGGCGGCGGTGGCGGTTGACGTGAGATGGCCACTCGCTGTGCTGCGCGCGCGGGATTGATGGTGTTGGTAACAACGGTGCGCGTCTTTGCAATTGCTTGCCGTGTGGTCGGTGGCTACGCGCGCGTGGCCTGTTGTAATCCAGCACTGTGGAGGCAGCGGGGGTTGCTGGACCGCCGCGCAAATGTTGTGATGCTCCATTCCCGTGCCTCCGATTGGCACGGTTGACTGCGTATGGTGCAAAGGCGTTCAACGTACATACTCGTGCAGATGCCAAACCCTGGCTCGCCAGGAGTAGGCGGCACGGCAAGTGGACTAATTTGCCATTCTCTTACTACCTTCAGAATCAGAATATTAATACTGGAGGAATGCGATGAGCTATAAAGCTCTTTTGTCAAAGATGTCCAGTTGGTTTCCATCTAAGAGTTTTGCTGCCCTCGCGCACGTGAGTTTTCTCCGGGCGCTCCAGTTTCCTCCCACTTGTATATTGTTCGTTGGCTGAAACTATCTTCAAATAAAAACCCAACGCACCGAACCCTCTTGTAAAAGAGTCCGAAGACTCATTGAGGCCTTTGCTGGATAAATCCGTACGTAAAATAAGTAACTCATAAATACGTAACTGAAATAAGTAATTGCTCACACCATTACTGCTGGAATGGCCTCCACTAGAGGAAGATTGAGAGAGCCCCTCCAGCGAGGGCATTTGGCCAACTCTCCCATGCTTATCAAGCACTTCGGTAGAGGTTGGAGTACCCACACTTTACCCCAGCTCACGCTGCCTGCTCATCGACTGATTCTACGTATAGCAGTGTCTCAGCTATTAAACCCACTGCTACAATAACATAGACGCGTGCTACATTTTTAATGGTGATACAGAACGGCAATGCAGAACGTGGGCATCTCCTCGGCAGCCTTGGCCCAAAATGAATTGCGAATGCGTGGTGTAAATATTTCACGGGAGGCGAAAGCGGCCAGGAGTATTGATGAACATATCCCTGCAGTAGGTGCTCAATAACAGCACTTGGTACTGTGGTCTAGCAGGTTAAACCTGGGTCTTTCCCTTGCGAAGGATTTTAAAGATGCTATGTAGTTTCTTTAAGCCATAAAGATTGGCAAAAATGAAAAACTTCCAACTGATTCTCACCGATGATTGTCTCGAACCCCTTTTGTCATGAGCACTTCCGGTTTTCGAAACCACACATGAATGTACTCCCACTATCAGTCATGACATAGGGCTCCAAAATAAATTCCAGATCCTTCCACTTGGTCCTAAGTTCACCAGGGCTGGCCTCGTAATAATTTATAGCTCCATTCTGAAACGCACTGGGAAGTAAAATATAGAGGAGCCTCGACTCGCGCCCTGCCCCATGGAGAATCGCTCACTGTCACCTGCTGTTGTTCGAACCGCGGCTTGTTGTTGAAGGTCGAGACTTGCGACAAGTTCAGTAATATGCTTTGGAATCCACGTCTGCCAGTATCCCCAGAGAGCGTCATGCCGGAACAATATTGCACGTTATTGAGTGTTCACTGGCGCGCGTGATAAATGGGTTATTGTACCCTGCACTTTTCAACGACGTATACTGGACGTTCCCAATTCGATCACGAGTGCCACATCTGTCCACCTCCGAGAGCCACTTGTGTTGATTGTAGTGAGAGTTCGGCTTCTGTTATTCACACGTCTGTCAGTAGGGGGGTAGTGATTGGTATGTATATCCCAATTGAGTGATTTCCAAATTGAGTGATTTCCCAACTGAGTAATTTGCGGGTAATTTTCCAAAGTACAAAATTTGGACCCTGATGCCGGCACCCACTGCGAAGCGGACGGCTCGTCGTCTCACAGCGGTTATTACAGCCTGCAGTAATAAGCAGGGCGGCTACACTCTGCTTTTTACAACTGCGAACCTTTGCAACAAAAAGCGGTGAAACGTGCTTCCACTTGGCCGTGTCGCAGGCCCCATTACGCGTTCATGAGGATTTGGATGAAACTCCCCCCCCCCCCCAAGTCAGGATCCTTTATAGAATATCAACACTGACGCACAGATCATGCTTTTGCTGAACAAATAAAACGAAGCAAAAAATGGTAAAATTAGTAGTTGGAGAGAAAAATCCCCCATCCGGTGGTGGGGATTCTACATTCCTACAGTCGCGACGAGTTATTCCGTGGAACAGCGACTGTTGCGTAACCAAGAAAAACCTGTTTAAAAATACAGAAATCTAATTAACACTTGACCCGCAATAAGTTGAGCGAGTCAAACTATAGAATTCAATTGGTCATGTTATATTGCTTTTATTTCAGGCAGCGAACAGTACAGCTACAGGAAACTAATTCTACTTCCCCCCCCCCTTTACTGCACTAGGATTGACATAAATGTGTTTTTTTTTCTCGTCACAGCTGCCAATGATAAAAAAATGCAATCTTTTTGTGAAGAAATAGCTGGATAAGAGAGATATGGAGGTGGCCAATAACTGCAGTGATATCCTTGGCCACGTTCACTGGGTGTCGTCTGCCGCATTTAATGCACACCACGCAATCATCTCTTGGCAGGGGTCGTTAAAACGGCGGGAGGGCGGGGAGAGGGGTATCACGAAATGACCTGCGGAAGAGTCTGACCACCAGCTAAATTTATTTCCCTACCTCGTCTGGGAAAGAGGTTTTGGTATTAAAAAATAGTCTGTAGGGGCCTCGTACATTTGCAGCAGCAGTAGCAAGCGGCTGTTCTCTGTCGTCTCGAGGAATTATATTGGGTCATTGTGTATAAATTTGATTCAGGAGACTACGAGGCATGGTTGCAAATGGCTCTTTATTTACAAATGCTGTGTTTTTGTGCCAAATAGGGCGGCGCGTGTGGATTATACGAGTCTTATCTGTCCCCCCTGCGTCCAATCCTCCGGTCGTGTTTTTGTGCCGAGATGCACCGATTGGACTTGTGAATAACAAAGTGACCGACCTCGCACACAGTAGTGTCTCTAATTCTCAGATAGCAAAATCGACGTTTTCATTCTTCAGAGGATTTTGTTGTGAGCGTAATGCAAATGAAAGTTGGCAGCATTCTAGCAATCGCAATATAATTGTGTCTTCGTGTGAGTTATTCAAAGGTAGCCGGGAGATAGATGTGTGAGTGTCTCAGTAAGTAGGTATAGTAAAACCTTGGATTGCGAGCACAATTCGTTCTGGAAACGTGTTTGTAATCCAAAGCACTCGTATATCAAAGCACTCGTATATCAGTTGTGATCACGTGACGCTCGGGACAAAGCGTACACGTACACTGCTCGTATTGCAAGACCTCGCTCGTTTATCAAATTAATATTTACTTAAAATTTTTGCTCGTCTTGCAAAACACTCGCAGACCAAGTTACTCGCAATCCAAGGTTTTACTGTATTTGTGTGTGAAAAGTAGGTAAGCAGATTTGTGAGTGGATGGCTGTTTGGATAATGGGTAGGTAGGGCGGTGAATGGGTAGTTATGTTTATTTAGTTAGGTAGGCAGGTGGGTAGTTGGGTATTTCAATGGGAGGATAGGTATGTAGGTAGGTAGGTAGGTTGATGATGGAGGTAGTGAATAGATAATTGGGTGTAGTAGATAGACGAACAGATAGCTAGGTGGGTGGTTGAGTGTTTGAATGGGAGGATGTGTAGGTAAGTAGATATGTGGGAAGACATATTGCCTGCTTGTTTATTTTGTAATGTAGGTAGGTTTGCCATTGAGTGGGAAGTTACATGTGTATACAGGCAGGTAGGTGGATGGGTGTTTTTACGTGTGTCAGTTGGTAAATATTTGGGTATTGGTACGGGTGGGTTTCTGGTTAACTGGCTAGGTCCACTGGTAGGTGGCTCAGTCGGTAGCTCTTCAGCGATATAGTCGCCCATTGAGACAACACATCGCTTGCGAGGCATGGCGGTGTAATGTACTCAACCTGTAGAGAATTGTGAACAGGAAACACTGAAAAATGCTAAGTTACAAATTTTATTTTTTTCAGAGGAGAAAAATGTCACAAATAAGGAAATGTAAAATACATTAATGGATCATTCTTGTGACCAGGATTTTATATTAGTGTAATGTTAAGTATGTAGATTTACCAGGAATGGTCTATAATAAGGCTTTTGAGCTATGTGCAATTGCTTTTCGAACCCTTGTTATGGTTATGTGTGCATTAAATGTGGGCAAATCCACAGAAACATTTTAAGCTTCTTCCTTTTGAAGATGACTTTGTGTTTGAGTATAGAATACCGCACATCAGAAGACTGCCTCTGACACACGGCACGGACATCTTTATGCGATTTACTTACATTTTCTCCACAGATAATAAAAAAACGAATCTCATCGTGAAGAGCCGAGCTTTATGGTTGCGGGTAAAAGCCGTTTATCATCGTATGACTTTGCGATAAACCTTTTATGGAGGAGTCGCAGTGTAAGCAGTGCACTGCGTGAGAGTTCCATAACAGAAACAGGTGGTTACATCTGTCACCCGTCTTTTGCGTGCAAATTTAGTCACGTGATCCCTTCTCCTTTTCCACATGGCTATGCATTTACACAGTCTCTTAATCATTTCATTTTGATCCCCATCTGTAAAACTGTAATTGACAAAAGTGCCCACAATTTTTTGGATAAAAATGAATAGATAAATATGAGCAGTTTAAAATGTGCAAATAATACCATTTATTTAACTGTAAAATTCTCACTGAGTCTCAAGGCTCTATGAAGATATTTTGCCAGTTTCATTCATTGGTGTTTTTTTTTGTGGAATGTGGGAGGAAAATAGAAGAGCTGAAGAAAACCCATGCATACAAAAAGATAACACTCTTAAGCTCCAGAAAAATGGATTGAATCCATTGCTATACGAATATTTCCTGACCACCTCATAGGCCGAGCCTAATGACACGTGCTATTTCCAGGCAGTCTACAATTCAATGACTAGCCAGGCTCAAACCCTGCTTAGGTTCTGAGATTGGACATATTGGGAGTGATTCGATTGCACCTTTTCTACTTTGCAATTTTCTTGAATTAGGAGATTGTAGCCAAAGTTGGGGAGAGTGGACGTTCTAGTTTTAGCTTATGCCAGTGGTGGGAATTCCTGATTACTATGAATGAGGGCAGTCACTCAATGGGACAACCATTGTTGACTTCCCACAAATTGGAACTAATTGAGATGTGAACTTCTCCTGGTGTGGTGCCATCTCTTGGTACTGTAAGTAGTCTGGTGGTGTCAAGTCGTCTCTTGGTCTCATCTCTATGGTGGCCCATAATTAGAAGAATGGTTTAATTTTATATAGCATTATTCATGTATCCAATAACACTGTACATTAATGATATATATATAAGGACAATTCCCAAGTAAATAAAAACCCTACTACCATACCGTGGTGGCATATTCTTTGGGTCTTTCGGTAAAGTCACGTAGATAGGTTCAAATAAAATAACAAAAATAACAAAAAACTACGACGTTTCGATCGCAACACAAGCAGTCGTCATCAGGAAAAGGAGGTTAGCTTCTAAAGGCAAACTGTTTATAAAGGTTTAAAATGGGCGTAGCCAAATTTCATCAGCATGGGCGGGGCAGCTTATGTTAATGTAGTGATGGGCAGCGACCGTGAAGGTGGTAGGTTTCCACCAATTAAAAGGGCTGCCAGGTAAAAATTAGCATGATAATGTCAGATTGGTGAGCGGCCTCCATGGCGAGTGCGCTGAGGTGGCTATGTTAATGTGAGAGATTAGCATGTTAATGTGAGAGATTAGCATGTTAATGTGAGAGATTAGCATGTTAATGGGAGATCGAAGAGCCGCCGCACGTTGAGGTCGTCGCGCGAGGTGGCTGTGTTGGTGTGAGAAATGTAACCTATTAATGTAAAATCGGAGAGCCAAATATAACAACTAACATCAGAAGGTGGTAGGATGAAAACACCACAGCAGTTATGACTTAAACTGGTTGATAACTTCCTTCCAATGATTGCTAAGTTTGTACCCATCTTCTCGGTTGAAATTGTGTCTGTGTCTGTATATATGGATGGCTTCATGAACGAATCTTTGTTGATAGCCAGTGGGTTTGCAAAGTACCTTCGTCTTAGAGATATAAATTCCGTGTGAGCCCACCACATTAAAACAATGATCAGCCACGGCCGAGGTATTGGTCCTATTGTGTTTCAGATCTGCCTTATGTTCAGGAACACGGTGGTGTCATGTTGCGGTGTCGTCTCTCGGAGTGTCCTTTATCGGTGCGCCATCTCTTGTCCTGTTGTGGTGTGGCCACCAGTCGGCTATGTACAGTGCAAAAGAAGTCCTACATATCGATACCAATACCCGCCATTCGCCACTAAGTGACGGTGACGTCACCACGGTACCTGTGCCAGACCAGGTGTAGTTTCAGGCAACGTGAAGTGTCGAATGCTCGCTGGAAGGAAGTCACGGGACAGACCCAGGTGCCATGGGTTGACTGAATGAGATGACTGGCAGATGCACCAGCTGTAGCCCCTACTGTGCTAACTTGCTGCATTTTAGCCACCCGGCGCTCCGCTCGGGTGGCTGTCTCCAACCGCCCAGTGGCGTCCTTTACGAGCCTCCTCGACAGAGGTCAATCTTGACGCCGCTGGTACTAGTCTTTGGCAAATCCTACATACACACACATGCGTGGTGCGGTGTGGCATTGTGTTGTGCCGCGGCTGTTGCAGACGTCGAGTACCAGTGGCTGCTCAACGAGTTCCCGGAGCTGGTGCCACAGGACGAGCGGCGCTTCGTGTCGCAGCAGACGGGCAACCTGTACATCGCGCGGGTTGAGGCCAGCGACGCCGGGCGCTACGCCTGCCTCTTGCGCAGCACGCTCGGCCGCCACAGCCCCAACGTCAACATCTTCAGCGCCTTCGCGGCCCTCGAGATACGGCGTGACTGTGAGTTTTGGGGGCGCCTCGCTCTCCTTGACGCGCGTTCGGGATGCGCTGCAGGTATTCCGCTTAAGCCTCCGCGGTTCGGAGCAAAGGTTTTAAGTGGCCGTCCGTGACCCCGAAGCGTGGTCGTCCTGGGTATAAGGCCACGTGTTCACCAAATGTTCTCTCAATCTTTTGCTTCAATAGGGAAGGCAAATGCGAGCTGAGTTTTGTGCTGGAAATAGCCGTCCTGTTCCCGAGCATTGGGTCAGACATGCAACTGGGCGTGTCCAGAAAGTCCCATACAGGTATTTGGTGATTCGCAGACGCGTGCAGGACCAACGACCAATGAGAAAGCAAAGTGCCATACAATAAGGGATTTGGAGACCAGATGAAATGCACCGCTTCATCTCCAGATGATGTTTCCAGTAATGCGTGGTGAAATCTTTCTCGAAGATATGCTAATGCTCAATACGTGAATTAACCCCGCAAGTCCTCACTTGGGTTGCTGTGGAGTGAGCACGGTGGAATTGGTGCCTGTAATCCAGCACTCGTAGCACAACACATTAAGTTGGCAATACACCACATAGGGCATAGAGACATCGATAGACGTGCGAGCAGCTGCCTCCATTAGCTTTTTGATAGAGTGTGGTGGGTTGGGGGGTGTTGGCAATTCTATTTGCATTTGACCTCGCAATTTATAACCTTCTTTACCCCCACCCCCCCCCCCCATGCCAGCTTGACCCCCATAACTTCACACATGCTCACATTTTAAAAGCATCAACGTGTTGATGGGGCAGTGGAGTCGCATTAGTTAGCTCGCTGCGCTTTGAACCCGGCGACCTGAATCTAATTACCGGCCAGCTGTGGCTAAAATCGGTGGCGAGTGAAATCTGAACCGATCCTGGGCAACTGCCTTCATAAACCGTCATTGACAAGCACGGTGAAGTATGGTCAAACAATGTCCACGACCGATGCAGCGTGGGAAGCCTTTCATCCAGCAGTGTATTGGGAAAGAACTGTAGATTTTAAAAACACGTTGATAAGTTCTCCCAAAAAAAAAAAATCGATATTTGAAAGTATGTCATAACAATTGTGTTATATTTTTCTTAATGACAGGAGGTAGTTTACACAAATTTTAGTAGTTTTAGCATGGTTACTCAGCACATGCCCAAAGGCCTAAAACAACGAGCAGTGAGCAACACACAGCACCCACTCATTTGCTGGGAAATTGCCATTCTCATTCTTTTTTTATTATTACTTGTGAAAATGTGCTCATGTCTTTGTCGCCAACTATTGAGGCAAAAACGACAGGCGATGTGCTTCGACCGTTCCCGGCGACTCGACACGCGAGCTCGTCGCAAGAAGAGCACGTGGCCATCTGACATCGTTCCCTCCTCTCGCTCTGCAGCCCCCATGATGAGCTTGCTGCCGCGCATCGAGGTGAAGCTACCGGCGGAAACGGTGGTGCTCAAGGGAGATAACCTACGCCTCGAGTGCTTCGCTCTTGGGAAGTGAGTCTCTCCTGTATGCGCGCATGTGCGTTGGACGTCTTTCGCACCGTACGTAGCCGACCGTGCTAATCAGAGGTGCGACGGAGAGTGAAGGGTGCACGATCTCGCGTCCATCCCGGCCTTCCCAGCCCGTGGTATCGCTGTCCCACCTAGCATGGTGCACCTAGCGTGGCACTCGTGCCGTGGTGACGTCGCCGCCGCTTGGTGGCGAGCGGCGTTTGTTGTTGTTTTTGTCGTTGCTGTCCTGAGCGTCGCTCCAATGTTACGTCTCCTTAAAGGATGACAGATTTTGCTGGCATGGCCTTTTCTGCAATGCCACTGCAGCAATGGAAAGCCTGATGGTATAATTGCCCCTGGGGGTGTATTGCAATTTCAGAGGAGTTTAAAAACTCCTATTTTTTCAAACCATGTCCAATACTAAGTTTATCTTAAGCATGCAACCATGTCACACTATACAGGGGTTGTTCCATGTGTACCCAAATCAATATCATTGCCCTGAGAAGAAGAAAAAAACGCTCAGATGTTTTTGGTTGTCTTGGGAAACTTTTTGCGATACCAAGTTCATGCGTCCTTTGTTCAATTGCGCTTCCTAATTTCATTGGCGTGTCTGGCCTTGGTTTACGTATGGATGTTGAACTTCTGTCGCACCGTACGTTGCCAACCGTGCTAACCGGAAGTGCCGGGGGAGCAATGTAAAGTTATAGACGATGTTGAAGTATCTGCTAAAAGAAGCAGTGGGGGGAGGTACTCATCTCCAATGGCAGCCCTGAATGTTCTCATTCGTATGGTGAGGGCCAGTGTCTCCCGTGGATGATGACCTTCCAAAGCCATACTCGTTTATTCGTGCTCTGAAGTATGATTGGCCGAGTCGAGCCGCAAATATGAACGTGGAAGCAAAGTTCTCTAACTACTCCGTTATTCGGCCCGATCTCGGTCTACGTTCGTATTGTTACGATAAAGATCGCATCACGCCGTTGGGATTCTACTGTTGGGATCATTAGCCTCGGCATGCAGGGGATGGAGGCCATTTCAAACAGTGCTTAATGAAATATTGGCGCAGGCTTAGCTGCAGTCGCCACTGATTAGAGGAAATAACGCGAGGAAACTAATTGAAGGAAATTAATAGAGAATGTGAGGTGTACGATGTCATCTGCGTTCAATTAGAGACACGTGGCCTGGGTTCCCGAGACCCCCCCGATCAATTAAAGCACGACATGTGTAGCACGTGTAAGCCGACTCTTTTAAATTAGGCAGTAAGCTCAATAAATCCAAAGGTATGGCAAAGCCCTGCGGAGGTGAAACATAGCACAATTCGCAAGAATGCTCTCCCTGCCTTTTTTAATCTGCACTTTGCCATCTGCCAGCATGCGAGGCTGGGGAATGGTGGTGTAATGGTGCCTCACGCTCCAATTCAAATTACTGAACCTGTATTCCATTCCTACCCACGTACAACACAAGTGGCAACTGGAATCTTTAACCAGGCTTCAGGCCTCCCCTAGGTCAACTTGGCCCATAAATTAGTATGTTGGCCCTTTGCCGTTGATAATTAGGCATTTAAAGACATAAAGGTGGGCCAGGTTAATGTGGTGCCATCCAAACATTGTGTGCACTGCTGGCCTTCATAGGCACTCGCCAATAGCACTTCCTCGGGCAGTCAATAAACTTAATTGGGAATATCTGTCTGTTAGAAACTAATACATGCTGCGATCTAGCATGGTTGGCTACGTACGGTGGGAAAGAAGATCAACATAATCTCTTCACGTCTAGTGCCATGGGTATGTTCATTACGATTCAGTTCTAACCACCAAAGCACATATGGAGACTAAGTCACCATTTCGATGTTTGACATTCTTTTCTTATGCCCAAGCCTGTGATCACTTTGTACATTAACATAATGGGATGTGCAGTAAATGCCACGTTAATGGAAATATATGTGGCAGCTTTTGGCCAGTCAAGCACTGCAGACTGCGAATGTTAATTGCATGGAGAGTTCAAGAGCAGACGGTGTTCTGCGTAGTTCCCCTCTCTATTATAGTCGTCTCATTACAGTCTTAAGGCCACCTAAGGTCAGCACTGAGTCTTAATCAACTTGTGTCTGTTGTGTGCATTGGAGATGTGCGGTGTAAAGGTCACACTGGAACAAGTGTGGTTATCGCCAACATTCCTGAATGAGATCGTAGCTCCTCTGCCTGAGCTCCTGTAGTAGTTTTTTTTTTACCCTCTGCCTTGTCACATCACGTCAACTTGATAAGGGGGTGCGCCGCTTGGCAGCATTGGGTTGCTAGAGTCTCACTGCTGCTGTCAGTCGATCACATTCGCTCAGATGAAATGTTTACAGAGCTGCTGGTGGTTTTGCATCATGCCCCATACTTTTTGGACACTTTTCTGTACGTTTATTTCTTTTACCTAAGGTTTTATGGGCCCACACTACTTTTCTGTTAGGATGGTTTTTCTCATCATTTAACAGATTCTATGATGGGGACACGGGCAGAATAACTCGTCTCAACATTGCTACATTGTACACCGATGAGTGTGTTGTGGTCAACAGAGTTGTTCAGTTGGTAGATTAGCATCATCATTGTCACCATCATCACCATCGTGACCAATTAATATAATTATTATCGACATGATCCTAATCACAAATTAGGTCTTATTTAAACCATCATTGTTGATCAGTCAATAAATCCATCCTTATCAATCATTGGATCATTACTGTCATCATCTCATTAATAAATCATCATCAAAACAAGTAAGGATGATTGTCAATATTGTTACCACCATCATGATTATGCATAGAAGTGTTTTTATTTTTTCCTCAAGAATTGTCATGCAAACAACACATCAACATCACCACCACTCACTTATGTAGTTCTATAGAACCAGTTACTCGTTTGAGGCTGAGTCGACCTAGGGGAGGCCCAGGACCGGTTTAAATAATTGCCACCGGTGTTGGCCGTGAGCGGGAATCGAACTCGGGTCACCGGATTTGTAGCGCAGCGTAGCGCTAACCACTACACTACCGCTACCCCCACACACAAACGTGCGCGTGTTAGACACACACAACTTTCAGGTTGCGTACGGCAGTAAACGACTCAAATAAACCAATGCTGCGCAAAGAACGCCTTAGACCTGCAACACATTTGTATGGCACTTTAGCAGGCACACTCCGTTACGCTTCCGCACACGGGTCACATGACAGATTTGACGTCACAGCTCACTTGCCGTGCAATAAAAAAATGCATTATTGAGCTCCCCCCCCCCCCAAAAAAAAACAGTGTTTCTATAATTTTTGCATGGTGTACAGTCTGGAAAGTACCCACGTGGCAAATTTCCAGTTTGTTGCATGTCGGGAAGTACGCTAAACATTTTGAACAGACACATAATTCACAACTTTGCCTTTTATATATATGGAGATTAGCAATGTAGCAGCATAGCGCTGGCGGCGAAGGGGATCTGCAGCTTACAGCAGCCCTGACAGCAGCAGGCCACGTGATACAGCAGAGGGGACATCTGGGGGACAGATTACAGAAGGGGCACGTGGGGGAAGCCCGGGAACCCGCTGGTAGGTTCTAGAGAGGGGGCGTGGCCGGGGCGGAACGAGGCCACGCTGAGAGCATAAAAGGGGGCCCTGAGCGAGAGCTCGGGGCTGTCGTATGGAGTGGGATCCCCCTCGTGCTGTTGAAGACCGTCGCCATCGTCGTTGTCGTCTTCACTCGACATTGCGCTGCTAGACGGTAGTTGGCTGTCTCGGTTCAGCGCCGTCAGTGTTTGACGGCTAGTGTTGTGTATAGGCTAGCAACAGTAATAGTGTGTACCCACGTGGTGTTGTGTATAGGCCAGCAATAGTAATAGTGTGTACCCACGTGGTGTTGTGTATAGGCTAGCAACAGTAATAGTGTGTACCCACGTGGTGTTGTGTATAGGCCAGCAATAGTAATAGTGTGTACCCACGTGGTGTTGTGTATAGGCTAGCAACAGTAATAGTGTGTACTCACGTGGTGTTGTGTATAGGCTAGCAACAGTAATAGTGTGTACCCACGTGGTGTTGTGTATAGGCTAGCTACAGTAATAGTGTGTACCCACGTAGTGTTGTGTATAGGCTAGCAACAGTAATAGTGTGTACCCACGTAGTGTTGTGTATAGGCTAGCAACAGTAATAGTGTGTACCCACGTAGTGTTGTGTATAGGCCAGCAACAGTAATAGTGTGTACCCACGTAGTGTTGTGTATAGGCCAGCAACAGTAATAGTGTGTACCCACGTAGTGTTGTGTATAGGCCAGCAACAGTAATAGTGTGTACCCACGTGGTGTTGTGTATAGGCTAGCTACAGTAATAGTGTGTACCCACGTAGTGTTGTGTATAGGCTAGCAACAGTAATAGTGTGTACCCACGTGGTGTTGTGTATAGGCTAGCTACAGTAATAGTGTGTACCCACGTAGTGTTGTGTATAGGCTAGCAACAGTAATAGTGTGTACCCACGTAGTGTTGTGTATAGGCTAGCAACAGTAATAGTGTGTACCCACGTAGTGTTGTGTATAGGCTAGCTACAGTAATAGTGTGTACCCACGTAGTGTTGTGTATAGGCCAACAACAGTAATAGTGTGTACACACGTAGTGTTGTGTATAGGCTAGCAACAGTAATTATGTGTACCCACGTAGTGTTGTGTATAGGCTAGCAACAGTAATAGTGTGTACCCACGTGGTGTTGTGTATAGGCTAGCAACAGTAATAGTGTGTACCCACGTGGTGATGTGTATAGGCTAGCAACAGTAATAGTGTGTACCCACGTAGTGTTGTGTATAGGCTAGCAACAGTAATAGTGTGTACCCACGTGGTGATGTGTATAGGCTAGCAACAGTAATAGTGTGTACCCACGTAGTGTTGTGTATAGGCTTGAAACCCATGTAGAGTTGTGTATAAGCGAGCGACATGAGTGTGTACCAGCGTAGAGTGTGTGGTGTGCAAAGGGTGCTCGGTTAAATAAAATAAGTGCCTCCAAGTCTTAGCGTCTCCAAGTAAGTCACTACATTTACACTACCTTCATCAACATCCCTATCACCACATCCCTGCGGATTTCTCTCATTTACTCCTATTCATCCCTATTTATTTTCTATCCCTGCCTCCATGCATCTCTCCATTCACCCACTTCCTCTTACTTTTTCCTTAATCCATTTATCCCTTTGCTCTTTACCTGACCACCCCCTCCACCTTCCACCATTACCTTCTCTCTCTCGCTTTCTCTTCTCTCCTCCTCCTCTCCCCTCTCGTTTTCACAGCCCCGTGCCAAGCATCTCGTGGCAACGCAAGGACGGGCGGCTGCCGGATCGCACACGCCTCTCGGTGAGTGCCGCCGTGCTGGAGGTGGCGGACGTGACCCACGAGGACGAGGGAGTCTACGTGTGCAACGCCACCAACGCTCTGGGCAGCGTCCTCTCCGAGGGGCACATCACCGTACAAGGTGTGGTTAGCGACGGCGATGTCATTGTCACTGGCACGGTGGTGTCTTTGCCGGCGTGGTGATATCATCACTGCAGCCGTCTGGAATGTTCTTCCTTCCGATATTAGGACGCCACTGTGGACTTTTAAATCTAGTTTGAAAACGAATTTCTTTAGAACTGCTTTTTGTGTTTAGTTTGTTGTCCTTCCCCCGCAACTCCGGTTAGCACGGTTGGCTACGTACGGCGCAAAAGAAGTTCAATATACATACATACTGGTGACATGTTGCGATTGCCAGCACGGTGATGGCATCATCACCGGCATGGTGATGTCATTCAAGCATGGTGATGTCATGACTGTCATAACTTTTTTTTCCTGTTTGGTAATGATATTGTCGATGCATTCATGAAATCGCCGTCGTGGCACTGTTATAGTTGGTGGCAGCGGAGTCCTCAACGGTAGCGCAGTGATGTAATCGGTAGCTCGCCGACATCATCATTAGCGGTGTGACGTGATCGCCATTGGCATTGCCGGTGTGGTGATGCCATCACCAGAGCGGTGATTCCCCTGCAGTGTTACTGACACATGCTGCCCCACGGACCCATATACTAAGCGTTTAATGACTCGCCGATGTGAACGTTGCACTGCATGCTTACCGGCACGAGGTCTGCCGTTTCCCTTTGCATTCCGATAGCTCCTTCAGGAACTGAATATGATTCACGTCATGAGGGTTGTTTTTAGTTTAAATCTCAGTCGGGAAGCTCCCAGCGCATGGAGCAAAATGACAGACACGCAGGACAGCGCACGGTACAACCAGAAAACGCAAGAGACGGCTACACGGCATAACCAAGACAACCCTCGCAGAAGGCGGTCAGTGATTCACCCCCATGGCAAGTCGTGGGGGTGAATTATTCCAGGCAGCAATTTTATTCGAAAATAACCAAAAATTGTCACGTTTTTATCACCTTATTTGCCTTGTTTCTATGTTTGTTTTGTCGCCTTTAGTAAATAATCTATTCTCACCCATATGAATAAATATGGTGAGCATAAGAATCGGTCGAAATCAATTAATCGATTTGATGTGACACGCCTGCCATGTCCCACGAGTGGCGAGATGTTGACTCCCTTGCCTGGCATTCAGGAGGAAGTGGGTTCGATCCTGACCCTGACGTCTTCATATTTGGAGTTTGCGGTGTCTCTCTCTCCCCGCAGCCGCGTGGATTTTTCTCCGGGTCCTCTGGATTTTCTCTTCACATTTATAGATGCGCGTTTTAGAATATTTGGCTGCTATTAATTTCCATATGATCAGCCACTTCGTTGAGCTATCATTTGTGGTTAGGTGGCTTCTGAAAAAAAAAATAGCTATACAGCTCAGTGAGCCTTACCTGGTAAAATATAAAAGAGTAGTTGGCCTCAACAAGTGCTTCTTAAGACTACTTAAGACGCATTTTGCGTTAGAGAGTGAACCTCCACACTGGGTGAATGCTGTGGCAGTGATTTGCCATCGGTGCTCAGTATTTAAATGCTGTGAAAGCACGTGAGAATGTACCAGGAAAAGTGCTGTCGGCATAATGGAGGGGATGGAAGGTTGGGGATAGGAGTTGGGACGTTTGCAGGAGGGAATCTTACAGAGAGTGAACATTGGAGTGGCACCCAGAGGTCACCAACCGAGTGGAAGAGCGAATGCCAGATGGGGGGGTGATGATGATGTTGATACGGTGAGAGCGGTGCTTGCGGGGTTGGTGTTGACCGCATAACGGTAGAGGAATTTTTTGCATAAGGAAGTTGTGGACATTAGGTGGTGGCATAAATAGCTTTGGCCATCATGAACTTTTAATTTTTTGTGACGACAAAAGGCCATTTGTCCAAAACATCACGTGTTGTATAATTTTCCTTTTCAGGCAATGTTATTGGCAAATGCGAGGTTTGTTTTGTTATGTGTGCTTTTGCACCACTGCCAACACAGCATCACCAATAATTATTAGTTTGGAATTTTTTCGAATGTTGCTCGTAGAAACACCCAGGCAGGCACATGTGTTAGACATCACGTGTAATGATATTTAATGTCAAGTGTCTTCGTACTCAAAGTGAGCATTATATAGTGCTTATTTCTCTTTTGTAGTCCTGAGCAAGTAATGAAAGCCTACGTGTTAAACTGAGTGGAATTTCCACATTCCTATAGCGGGGGTCAGCGAGTTCTTTCGCGAAACATCCACTGTCACACTTAATTCTATCAACCCCAGAGAGACGAAGGCCTTAGGTTAAACCTTTCTGAGATTTGACATTTAAGCTTTCTAATTGTGAGCCGAGCACCGTTACAATGCGATCCAGCCTTCATGAAGCAAATAACTAGCAACAATGTGATTCTACTGATTACTTTAACAGATACATTGGTGCCTTGTTTATTTCTATTCTTCCTGCAGCTCAGCCAGAGTTTGTGTTTGGACTGGACAACATAATGGCAGATGTGGACCAGGACCTGAACTGGACATGCAAAGCCAAGGGGAGGCCTGCACCAACCTATCAGTGGCTCAAGAATGGGGAGCCAATCGCCCCTCTGGTATGAATACTTACTTAGTCACTCGCTCGTTCAATCACCTACGTACGCACGTGTGAACTTCTTTCGTGCCGTACACAGCCAACCGTGCTAATCAGAGGTGCAGGGGAAGGGAAACAAACTAAATACAAAAAGCAGTTCTAAAACAAAATACTTATACCCACCACCTACCAACTAACTCTTTCACCTGTTCACCTACTCACTCATCTACCCACTCACTTGCCCATCCATCAATCCACACACCTGGAAACCCACCCACCAACACATGCATTCGCTTACTCACCAGCATACCTACTCTTCCATATACACTTTGTCAGTATTGTTGAAAGTGGGCACAATAGAAAATAACTTTGGTGGAAAACCAATTATATAATGTTCACTAAGAATGAAACACCTACAGCAGTGGTTTTTAACCTGGGGAGTGCGCACCCCCTGGCGGTGTGAGGTGCCCTTTCTGGGGGTGCGAGACATGCCAGATATTTTTAGAAGATAAATCATTAAAAACACAAATTAGGCACGAGCATGTAAGTACAACTACTTTGTTTCATAAAACATATGTATGTATTAACATTATACATTTGTTCACGATTGACAACCACAGGTATACAGGCTGCAGTAAAGGTTTAGAACCACTGACCTCCAGCATGGAGACATCCTTGGCAATTGCTCACACATTTGAGTGGGCTCAATGGCACAACGGCTGTAATCCCCCAACCTGATGCGCTGCAGAGTGATCACACGTGATTACAGCAGAGTTGGGTACAACAGGTGGGTTTGTGAACCCACCTGTTTAGACTCTTTGAGTATTGCCATCTTTTACGCGGGGATTGCCTCCTGATACCCTGGTTACCTCCCAAAACAAACAAAAACTATTCTGGATTGAATCGGCCAAACATCACAATGCAGAACCATCCTGACTCTCACTTAAGGCTTTTCTGGATATATAAATTACTTAATTTTCGTTATTATTGGACTGACATCGCAGGATGTCAACATGCAGTGCCGGTCCTGGACAGGCACGGCGTGCGGTGTCACGACATCCCGGATAGCACAGTGGTGTGGGTGTAGTACCGGCCCTAGAGGGGCCCGTGAGCGCTGAATGATAGCGCTGGATGGCACCACGCTTTGCGTGCAGTGCCAACCTTACAGGACATTGTGTGTGGGTGCCGGCCGAAGGATGAGGTTACTCGAGGCCATGGCACTCTGGTTGACCCGGGAGGACACGTGACCAGTTAAGTCTACAAAGGGGCCCCAAGTGGGGGCTAGGGGTGGTCACGTGGTTGGGATCCAGATCCTTCCCGAGGATTCTGGAAGGTGGTCGTGGCCAAGGGCGGAGCCGGCCACGCCACAGAGAAGATAAGCCGGGTCCCGAGAGGGACCGGGGTTGTTGTTCATCCTGAATAAACCTTCGTCTACGTCCTACGTTCAACGAGTCTCCAACACGCGGACCTGGACCCAAGCTGTTGGTCCCGGTCCGTAGTAGCAGTCACGGTGTAATTAGTGTAGTTAGCCTGGTGGTCACCACCAGGCTAACTACACTAGTTACGTTGTAATTAGTGTAGTTAGCCTGGTGGTCTCTACTACAGGTTGTTATTTTGTTAAAGGGAAAGTTACCCCGTGTGTTGGAGTTAAATTAATGTGTTGCCGCCAACGTCTGCGACTCAGTTGAACTCACTACATTATTATGAATTCACTCGTTTGTTTAATCACATCCAGTGCTGTTTAATCCATGCACAAATTAAATGACATATTGAATAGAGAGGAAAAAAAAGGGATTCACTGGAATTTTAACATTTATTCCACTGGATAAAAGTTGAAATAACTCTGCACCAGGGACGTGCGGTCAGGGGAGGCAGGGGAGGCAGAGCCTCACCTGTCATACTCCAATGAAAATAGCTGTTACGAAAGTAAAAAAAAAGAATAATCAAATACAATAAATATTAAGATTTTTCCACTGATCTGTGTTATAAATGCCATTTCTGTACGATTCCAATCATTTTTATAGTCAAATCGCCAAATTTGCGGAGCTCCGCTACAAATACAGGAAGAGACGAGAGGTGAGGCAGCGACGAGCTCAGCCTCCCCTCTGATTGCGCAACCCCTGAGTAACTGGATGGAGCGCGGGCAATAAGCGCGTGCCTGTTACTATCTCAGTGTGTCACCTATGTAATGTTTGTAGACCCCTTCATTTCATGTCCTCGCCTTCCATACTCCAGTTAACTTATTTCACGTATGTGTATAAAAATATTTAGGCTCGCTGGTCTCGTCATGAAACTGCAATGAAAAAGCACCAGGGGAGGCAGCTATCACATCTGCCTCACTGAGGGGGACGTGTCTAACACGCCCCCTTCAGTGAGGACACGCCCTCCCTCTGTGAGGCCACGCCCCCCCTCAGTGTGTGAATCTGGCTCTGACACTAGCCAGTGCCTCCCCCAGCCATTGACGTCACTGCACGTCGCTGCTCTGCACTCATATCCACTTGTGTTCCTGAGCCAGTGGATCTAGTTTATTTATACGGTGGTCACTGACACGCTTCCAACACGTGCATTAGAACACCACTCCTTGAGTGTCCAGCACTCAAGGAACTCGGCTAATGCGCCTCCATTTTTAGAGCAGGATCGCGGAAATTTGCTGGCTATATAAGCCGCCAACTTCGCTGAGCTGACAAAAAACTCCCGTCGCGGTGAGCAGGGAGCTTTTTAGCACGGAGGAGGAGGATTGCCCCCCCCCGGGGGGGTCACGTGGGTGAGGGGGGGGCATCCCCCTCCACCCCCTTCCCCCTATGTTAACTTTAAATGAACCATCTCTATCATGGAGACATCCTTTGTGTTTAGTTTTTTTAGTCCTTCCCCTGCACCTTGGCTACATACGGCGCTAAAGAAGTTCAACACACGTAAGTAGGGGAGAGGCGAGGTGGGGGGGCTCCTGTTGTGCCTGAAAGTATATGTATTATATCACTGCAAATGCAAAATACATTAATACATTAGCTGAGTTCCCTGAGTACTGGGCACTGAAATGGTGTTCTAATGTCTATATTTGGTACAATGAACTTTGTTGACTTTTCTCATCGTGGTACTTATGTCAACTACACAAAAAAACCCAATAAACTCATAATCAACCCCCTATTGAGAGCTGGGTTTGTGACCTTTTGATTAATTTACTAATGCAGCTCTCAAACTACAACGCACCCAGCTGGATACAATGACTGCCAAACCTGAAATCGCTTCGCTACCATCATCAATATTTACCCTGGGCTTTTGCACCGCTATGAGCGCGGTGGCTTTAGCGCTGTCTGCGTGAAGATGAAACGGGGCGCTTTTCTCTCCTCCGTTTATTCCTCAGGCGGGCAAGGTGTTGGTGGCCGAAGGGGAGCTGAACATCGTGAACCTGAACGTCGGCGACTCGGGCATGTACCAGTGTGTCGCCAAGAATGAACACGGCATCATCTACTCCAACGCGGAGCTCAGGGTGCTGGGTGAGACCCCCCCCCCGCCCCCCACCTCTCCCGCCCCCCAGTATCGGTCAGGATGCAGTGTTGAGGCCGCATCGTGGCCCCGGCGTTCATTGTGACGTGACCGTCACTCGGCACAGCGCAGGCCCATAGTCCTGCAACCTCAAATTCAGATTGGCCCATTGTGGAGGCTTTAACACGGTGCACCGGGGAAAGATGAAATTATCTAATAACAGGTAATTATTATATAATAAGCTGTCCGATGATTGCATTTGTGGCGTGTGAACACTGAGGCGCACAATAGTTCAGATGTATATTGCCATGACGCTTGAGGTGTGGAGCCAAGCTCAGTGCCACTCAAAATCTAGGCAGAAGAGGTGTGGGGCCTTTTAAAAAATATTTGGGGCCTCTTAAGTATCTCTTTAAAAAGTTGGTGTAGATTGAATGCTGTAATTGTAAAGCGGGACTCAAGTATGTTGAGCTTCTTTTGCACCGTATGTAGCCAATCGTGATGACCAGAAGTGCGGGGGAAGGAAAAAAGAGCACGCAAGCAAGAGAGACTCACCTTGTGGGCAATGAGTTGGCCGGTAGATCTTTTTGTATCTATATAAGGCAGTATAGCAAGTAGGTTGTTGACCTTGCCGATCGTGCAGCTTTTTTGCGTTTCTTCACTTTTCTGTGTGGGTTTAGCGTACATAAAATGTCTAATCTGGCCATGTGGCACTGTGATTAAAGAGCCCAACTTATAATCACAAGGTAATTTGTTCAAATCCGAAATCAACTCCGTATCATCTTCCCTGCTGGGTCACGGCAATGTGTATCCTTTTTTGGGAAGTCACCAGTGGTCAATCAATACAAACGCTCGACCCTGTCATAGGAATGATCATCAAAGGAGATGAGGACCACCCATTGCTTCGAATGAAGACTGACTTACTTTTCATTTTAACAGTCAATCTTTATAGACAGTGAGGTCGTTCGGGCACCGGGTAAGGATGGTCCCCGATAGACTCCCCCTGGAACTCCACCGGGCATGTCCCACTGGGCGAAGACCCCGGGGCCGGCCCAGAACACGCTGCTGGTGGGACGATGTCGCTCGGCTGGCCTGGGAATGCCTGGGAATTCCCCAGGAAGAGCTGTATATAGTAGTGTAGTGTACAGTGGTGTAGTGTATAGAAATGTAGAGCTAAAGTCTGTCGCCCGAGAAAGGGAGGTCTGGACTGCCGCTACTCAACACGCTGTCGCCGCGACCCTCACAAGGGCAAGCGGACTGAGGAACGAAGAAACGAATGTACATACATGAGTGATCAAGGCTTTTGCAGCTTATGACAAAATCGCCCAGAATGTGCCTGATTCTGTCAGGTCAGACGTCAGAAGCTAAGTAGGCTTTGAGCCTGGCTGGTGCTCGAATGGGCGACCACCGTGTACAAAAAAAACACACACAATTGCTGTGTCTGTATTGTGTGCAGCAGAGCACAGCGCAGCAAAATCCACTGCTGTTTTGTACTTCCCCCACCTTCGCCAACCAGCACTGACGGGGCGTGGTGAAGTACGGTCTCATAACCCTCACTGGCACTTGCCCGGCGGCGCGTTGGCAAGCTGGTCCTGCACAAGGTTTTTTATTGGCAGAGATGTTTAATCGCTCGCCGCTCCCTTTGGTTACAGCCTCGAAACCAGAGTTCGACCCCAATCCGCTATCCCGCGTGGTCCAGAGCGCCTTGGGGGGCAAGGCCATTGTCCCGTGCCTGCCCCAGGCTGCCCCCAAGCCGAACATCACCTGGAGCCGTGGGACGGAGCTGCTGCACGTGCACAGCCGGTGAGTCTGCGCATGCCCTCGCTCGCTCGAGGCTCACGGCCGGACTTTCTCCGAACTTACAGCCTCTCGGGGAAAAAAAGGCTACCTCTTGACGACACCCCCACATGGGATGGACTGTTGTCACAGCTATCACGTGGATTCCTCCAGTATAAATAAATGTCGTGATTCTGAAAATATTCAGATTCTGAAACATGCACTCGCCTTAGAACACACTTTCAGTGTCAGTTGTTTTGCATTTGTGTGATGGTTGGATGTGTGAGTGCGTGGATGGGTATGAGTAATTGAATGAGGTAGTAATTGAATTGATTAATGAGTGTATAAATAAATGAGAGTGTAGTGGGTGGATGTGTGTGTGTTAGTAATTGAATGAACGAGTGATTGAATTGGAGAGTGTGAGCAATTGAATGAATTCGTTTGTCACTGAGTGAGACTATGAATGGGTGTGTGAATGAACTAATGAGTAATAAAGGTTTTTGTGTTAGATCGCGTAAGTATGAATGCGTCGTAACCCTCCACCACCCGACACAGTAAGGTTTGTCACGTAAACAAAATGCGGCAATTAGTTACTACTTCAGCCCACCGGTGTGTTGGAGAGTAAATCCACAACATTTACAATTTGAGTACGACGTTTCGCTGGTAATTACATCCAGCATCATCGGGCGATTTGCCAGAATATTCTGGCGTTTTGTTTATGTCAAAAACCTTACTGGCTGTGTCGGGTGGTGGAGGGCTACGACACATTTATACTTACGCGATGTAACCCAAAAATCTTTCTTATGAATAATATTGGTCGCGAAAGCCTACGTGTTAAACTGAGTGAATGAGTCTTGCCGGGAGTGCATGCCTGATTGAGTTACTGAGTGTAGGCGAATGCACAACTGAGTGACGCACACCGATGAAACACGTGCTAAAAAAGCGTCTTAATAGCTTTAACAGTGACAGCAACGGATATGTTGAGAGTCCACCCTCTAGCAGTGCTATTCATCCTGCTGGCCTTTGCTGGAGACGAAGGCCGATGACAGATAGGGACCGTGTCGCCGTGTCCAACAGGATGTCCGTGCTTGAAGACGGGAGTCTGGTGATCCCAGATCTGCGCAGAACGGACCAGGGCAACTACACGTGCTTCGCTGAAAACAAACTGGGCAAGGCCAACGCCACGTTCACCCTGCTCGTCAAAGGTGCCCCCCACGCATGCCAGCTCTACGCTTCCCCCTCACCCTTACCCAGGCCGATGCTACACAGCCGTTGCGTGGTCTTACCTGTGGACCGTGCGTGTATTAGGAGTGTCCGTTTTCATGCACGGTGGTTCTATTCTCAATGCAGCTTTTTGATTGGTCAATCCACTGCTGGACGGGGGAGGGGGGGGGGTTATTGGAGGTTATTGGACCGTACTCTACCTCCGCTGGCCGGTGGCGACGAGGGGCATTGACGTGAACCACAGTGCAGCAATGGATTTTGCCGCACCGCTCTGTGCTACCCACAATGCAGCGTGGCCCCACAGCAGCCCACTTCGACCTTGCGTTTGTGTGGCTGGCTCAAAATCCTGCATGGCTTCTGATATCTGGCGCATTCACGATGATTTGCTTATAAGCGCCATTTGTGTAACAATCTTAATATTCCAATTTACCTTATTTAGCATGTTTACGGCAGGATTGCGTTTGCCACAATTTCTATGAATGCTACAACTAAGCTCTTGTTATGCCTAAGGCTATATATATACACGGTTTATTTCACCATTTATTGTGTGTCCTGTTTGCGGTAAATTCCGGCATGGGTTTTGTGTAATTCATTTGTTGTCGTTGCTCGTTTGGTTGCGCCTCCCCACCCTGTGACGTCCGCTAATTGCCACCGCTGCCAACAGTCTTGGACTGTCAGTTTAACACGTAGCAGACTTGCGCGACCAATATCATTCATAATCAAAGGTTGATGGGTTAGATCGCGCAAGTATAATTGCGTGGTCTTCCTTGCAACAAAACTGCTTCGCTCAATCGGCCATTCCAGCTAAAATAGTCTAACGTCTTATATACAGTACGTCAAACACTGCCTGCCTGTTGACTTGCTTGCTGTTATTTTAGTATTAGCTCGTGCGTGGTGTAGTTTGGAGGACATATATGTTCTGTGTACGAGCAAACACCGCGGTGTAACCATGCCTACCCCCGACCATCCTCCGCCCCCCCCCCCACTTTCACCGCACACGCAGACGCGACCATGATCAAGCTGGCCCCGAAGGACACGCGCGTCACCGTGGGGGAGAACGCCACGCTGCTGTGCCGCGTGTCGCACGACCGCACGCTCGACGTCGCCTTCCTGTGGCTCCACAACGGATACCCCCTCGACACCGTGTCGCCCGAGTCGCCCTTCCGCCGCATCTCAGCGGTGCGGACCTGTGGTCTGGGTGCATGTGTGGCCTGGGTGCATGTGTGGTCTGGGTGCGTGTGGTCTGGGTGCATGTGTGCGGTTAGCGGGGCTGCGCTACGAACCCGGCGACCCGAGTTCCTTGAAGAGGCGGCTTTGCTTGTGTGTTTGCGTCTTTAGGATGCTCTGGAGCAGTCGCGGTTCGTGCACTGAACTGTGAGACCAGTATTTCGAGTCTGATTCCTTGCCACGGATAACATCAGTGGCAAGGGGTTCTGAACCTGCATTGTACATACAATAGGTAAATTTATCATTAAATGAGTATCCGGTGCAGTGTGTTTGCATCAGTACTGGGGAGACAAAGGCGTCCAGGCGTGATGCTGGCCACTCGCCCTATCATGTGCCGTGCCGGCCATCATAGGCGCTCTCTGACAGCACTTGCCCCAACCAACAGCCTCTATAGGCTATAAAGAGGGCCTTTGTCTTTGTGTATATATGCATAATCATGGGTAATAGTGGCCCAGTGGTTAGTACACTGGGCTATCAACCCAGCCACCTGAGTTGAATTGCTCTCCGTGGCAAACATCATTTGGCAAGTCTTACCTGAATTCATGTCCAAAGTAAAAGTGTCTCAGTTTTCAAAGGCGTTTTACATGACACTCATCTCAATTTGCTTTCCTGAGCTGGTGGTAAAATGTCCACTTTTCCGTGGCAAGGGTAGTTCATAGCAGGGGCGGAGCCAGGGGGGGTGACAGGGGTGACATTCTGCGTATAAGTGTACGACACTCGGTCTGGCGGACTCCGTGCAACTGCATTGTCAGAGTGTGTCGCCAACCGATGGCGTCTAGTTCAACAGCCTGACTCTCTTAATCATTCTTGAAATTAACATTAGTTGAATGTCACCCCGGCCTGAAATCCTGCCTCCGCCCCTGGTTCATAGGACAGCCAAGTATATTTCATATGCTGTGTTCATTTGTTCTGTTCATATAGTGTAAATACACGCAGAGTATGACAAGTGATGGTGTGGCAGGAGTAGAAGGTAACGAGTTATAATTTTGATTGGGGAGATATCTTGGCCTATCACCTTCAGTGGATGAGATACTGATTATCACGTGGTGAGGTTCTAAAACTGTTGTTTTCCTAATAGGTAGATTGGTCCTTGCTGTTAAACCGTGTAAATTCTAGCCTAGCTTTGGACCACGTGAACATGGAGGCACTTTACTCCATGACTATGAAATATAAAAAGTAGTGCTTTAATACCTCCATCGGTTTGCGTGAGTCTCGAGTGAATGAACCTCGCACCATCGCCAACAGGGCTGTGAATTGTCGTCGAGAAAGAGTCTGTGGCATTTGTGGGGCTGTACACGAATTCACTCTTGTTCCCTCTGCCTTTCCCTTAAAGGACAAGGGCACAGGAGACATTCGGATAATACACGTGCTGCTTTACCACGCTGGAAACTACACCTGCCTGGCACACACTGCAGCTGACAGTGTGATGGCCCATGCAGTACTGCTCGTCAGAGGTGCGTACGGGAGCCTAACTCGGTCAGTCTCAGAGCTGCAAATTGTTTTGTATGAGACTGTAAATTAGTGGGGGAGGGAGGGGGGGGGAGGAGGGTGGTCTCAATTGGGACTATACATAGCGATCATCGCCCCCCTACTGCCAAACTGATGCCCATTTTCAGGCCAAGTGCTGAGTGACATTTGTGCTGCGCAGGGACAGCTGCCACTGGAGGTGCCAGCTTTGAATTTTTTTTTTGTAAAGCTGAGATGCGAGGCAAGTCGCTCGTCGCATGTGAAGCGCTCCGAGACGCAGCAGCATGAAGTGGGGGGGGGGGGCACTCTCTCAAACGAATCCGTCTGGTTACGCGCGTCTGTGAGTGCTTGTGGGGGAGCGGTGGTGTAGCGGTTAGTGCGCCCGCGTTACGAACCCGGCGACCCGAGTTCGATTCCCGCTCACGGCCAACAACGGTGACGATTATCTGAACCGGTTCTGGGCCTCCCCTAGGGCGACTCAGCCTCAAATGAGTACCTGGTGCGGTGTGTAAACGTCGGCACTCGGGAGACAAAGGCGGCCGGGCGTGGTGCTGGCCACTCACTCCCTCATGTGCCCTGCCGGCCTTCATTGGTGCTCGCTAACAGCACTTGCCCTAATAGTATGTTACAGGCTATACGGGGGATCTTTGTCTTTGTTATATTGGTGCACGCTCTGTATCACACTCACTTTGAATCAGGTGTAATTCTAGTACCTCACCACCAGTGGCCAATTGTACCCCTTTTTCCACTGGAATATGCGATCCGGGCCAACGGCAGCATCCTCTGGATGTGGGTGGCTTTCCACCTGGCTATCCCTTTCCCTTCTTTCTCCCCTTCACTGGAACAAACTCCCACTGCACATACAGCAATCATCTTCACTGATGATTGCTTGCTTGCTTCCGTTCCTCCTTTAAAACAACCCTCATCTCTTCTCCCCTAGCCCATCCTACTGTTACTCCTTGCCCTGGCCCCCCAGATATGAGCAGGCCTACCCCTACCCGAACCCCTAACCCCTATCACTATGCCTACCCCTATTACTATTCCTACCCCAACCCCTATCACTATGCCTACCCCAACCCCTACCCCTATCAATATGCCTACCCCAACCCCTACCCATATCACTATGCCTACCCCTATCCTAACCCCTACCCCAACCCCTACCCCAACCCCTATCACTGTGCCTACCCTAACTCCTACCCCAACCCCTATCACTGTGCCTACCCTAACCCCTACCCCAACCCCTACCCCTATTCCAACCCCTACCCCAACCCCTACCGCTACTTCAACCCCTATCACTATGTTTAACCCAACCCCTACCCCAACCCCTATCACTTTGCATACCCTTACCCCTACCCTAAACCCTACCCCAACCCCTACCCCAACCCCTACCCCAACCCCTATCACTACGGCAACCCCAACCTTTCCTGAACCACTCCCACCAGTCCTCCTTAGTGTCGCCATATCTCTACCACCACTCTCTATTTTAACTTCTATCATCTTATGTGCAATTTTATAGTTTTTGCAAAGCGCCTCTGACTAAGGTACTCATAGCAGATAAAATATATCTGCCGAGCCGAGCCAGAACCGAACCGTGAAACCTCCAGACTCACAATAAGACATCGAGATCCAGCTTGGGGCCGAGCAAGGCCAGGGGCGGAGTGATCCATTTTCAACCATTCATTGCATCGGTCAGTCCACCTGCAGGTGTGCGTATGTTTGTTGAACATCTTTCGCACCGTACGTGGCCTGTGACGCTGACCTCTGTTTTCGTTCGGGGCGCAGGGCCCCCCGGCCCGCCGGGCGGGGTGATCGCGGACAACGTCACCGCCAACACGGCGACGGTGGCGTGGAGCCCTGGCACGGACAACGACAGCCCAATCACGCGCTACGTCATCCAGGGCCGGCCCGTGGGCACCTTCAAGTGGAAAGACCTTGTCACAGGTACTGCCGCAAATACCGCGTGTGTGCGTGTGCGTGTGCGTGCGTGTGCGTGCGTGTATGCGTGCGTGTGTGTGTGCGTGTGTGCGAGCGTGTGTGTGTGCGTGTGTGTGCGTGCGTGCGTGTGTGTGTGTGTGCGTGCGCGGGTGCGTGTGTGCGTGCGTGTGTGCGTGTGTGTGTGCGTGCGGGCGTGTGTGTGTGTGTGTGTGCGTGTGTGCGTGTGTGTGTGTGCGTGCGGGCGTGTGTGTGTGTGTGCGTGCGTGTGTGTGCGTGCGTGCGGGCGTGTGTGTGTGTGCGCGTGTGCGTGTGTGCGAGCGTGTGTGTGTGTGTGCGTGTGTGTTTGCGTGTGTGTGTGTGTGCGTGCGGGCGTGTGTGCGTGTGTGTTTGCGTGTGTGTGTGTGTGCGTGCGGGCGTGTGTGCGTGTGTGTTTGCGTGTGTGTGTGTGTGTGCGTGCGGGCGTGTGTGCGTGTGTGTTTGCGTGTGTGTGTGTGCGCGTGTGTGTGTGTGTGTGCGTGCGGGCGTGTGTGTGTGTGTGTGTGTGCGCGTGTGTGTGTGTGCGTGCGGGCGTGTGTGTTTGCGTGTGTGTGTGTGTGCGTGTGGGGAGCGGTGGCGCAGGGGTTAGCGCTACGCTGCGCCACGAACCCGGCTACCCGGGTTCGTTTCCCGCTCGCGGCCAACGCCGGTGGCGGTTATCTGAACTGGTCATGGGCCCCTCCCCAAGGTCGACTCGGCCTCAAGTGAGTACATGGTGTGGTGTGTAAACATCGCCACTAGGAAGACAAAGGCGGCCGGACGTGCTGTTGGCCACCCAACCCCTCGTGTTGCCATGCTGCCCTTCACAGGTGCTCGCAAACCGCACTTGCCCCAATAGTCTGCTCAGGCTGTAAGGGGGATCTTTGTGTCTGTGCTTCTGTGTACAAGTCAGTGCATGCCTGTTGTGCCAGTATGTGCATGTGTTAGTATAAGCTGCAGAGCTGACCCCTCTGACTTCTACGTTTCGTCAATCTCTCCTTCTGTCTGTTTTGTACCCCCCCCCCCCGCCCCTGGGTGTTTTGCGATCAGCTCCACAGGAGATCGAAGGAAACGTAGACACGGCGAGGGTGGAGGGTCTCCGGCCGTGGCTGGACTACGAGTTCCATGTCATCGCCATCAACACGCTTGGCTTCGGGGAGCCGAGCCAGCCCTCCCGCCCGGTCCGCACGCTGCCTGACGGTGAGCGTCTTCCCGGCGGCGACGCCGCTCGGCGGCAAGCGCCGTGCCCGCCGCCCCTTGCGGAGGAGGCTCGCGGTTCTCATCCGGCTTGCGGCGGCCACCGGTTGTTGACGCTGCGAGTGCATCGACCACAAAGTACACGCCGTCGGCTTCACGGTGGACGTCAGGGAGAGCCCCTGACGTCGTTCGTAACGAGTACATTTAGAAAGATCGCGCACAAGTTGGGATTACACGTAGCGATGAGCCTGCCCTACTGCCAGACTCATGGCCGATGGCAAACCGGGTGACGAGTCGCCTACCTGTCCACAGGGACAGCGGTCACTGTGGTGGGGGGTGGGGGTTGGGGAGTGGCCTTTCAAATGTCTGAAATGAGATGTGAAGGGCGCTTGCTTAAATAATTAAATACTTCGACATCTCAAGATGCTATACAGAAACAGCGTGACATGCGGATCAATAGTAATACACAAATTTAATGATTGTAGTCTATTGAAAAAATAATCAAGAAGCCGAAGCAAACAGGAATTTACATGTTGAGCTTTGTCTCTCAATGTAAATTCCAATCATTAAGCTCTTTACATTTCTCTGTGTATACGCATGAATGTGTGTTTTCAAGTCTTTATTCCCAAATGAGGGAGAGAGAGAGAGAATGAGGAAGGGAGATGAGAGCGAGTGCCACTAACGAGATCACCCTCTCTGTTCTCACTCCAGTACCGACCACTGCTCCGTTCGGCATCACCGGTGGTGGAGGGAGACACCGGGAGCTCACCATCACGTGGACCGTGAGTCCTACGGCCAAACACCCCCACGGCACATCGTGGTGCCCGGGTGGCTCGGGGAGGGGGGTGGGGGGGGTGCTCTTAATGCCCATCTCAGAAACACCGAGTCACCGTCGCCGATGTCCCTGGGTTCAAATCCAGGCCTTTCATTCGCCAATGGATCAGCGCAGGTTGTAAAGGACAGCGTAGCGGAGGGGCGTTCTTCGAGCCTGTTTACCAAATGCCCTGCACACACACAAAAAAAAACATGCCGTCACCTTCGTTCGCGAATTTCACCTAACTGGACAAAATTTTCAGCTTTTTCAGAATGTAGAAAAATGTTTCGTTGTTGCTGCTATGCGAGGAGCATCTCTTCTATTAGCAGGGCACATAGGAAAGTGCGGTGCTCGTGCATACACGTAGGCTTTCGCGACCAATGTTACCCATAATAGAGGTTTTTGGGTTAGATCACGTAAATATAAATGCGTCGTTAAACCCGCCACCACCCGTAGCAACCAAATTAGTAAGGTTTTCACGTAAACAAAACAATTCGTTACTAGTACAGCACACCGGTGTGTTGGAGAGTAAACCCATAATGTTTACAATCCAAGTACCGTGACGTTTCGCCAATAATTACAACTAGCTTCATCAGGCGACAGCCAGAGTTGTGGAGAAATCCTGTTTTGGTCTTAAATAGAGGGATACATCTGGTGTCGTCACTTGTGAGCCAATCAGGTGCAAGGGCCAGATGGGGGGGGGGGTGGTGGTGGTTATTGCATGTATATAAGTTACAATGGAAATCCGTACATACGTACTTAAACGTGCATACACACTGCTGAGAACTTTGGCCCAAATCCAAGCCTGGTTCTTCAGGTGACAGGGGGTAATGGTCTTACCTGAGTGCATCTCCACTGTGAGGACCACATCTACGAATTTTCGAATGTGGCAGAAACCACTCATCGTAATTGATGTGGCATGTCAGAGCCCTTTCTGGTGTTTTGCTCAAAGTCCAATTGAATCGACTCCAGGGGGAGTTCTGTCGTTTCACCTTCCCGGGTCATTCCCCGACACACATTCTGTGGAAAATTAATTTGTGATCTCGTCAAAATAATTCCAACAGTGGAATTGGGATTTTATACGTAAGTACGTTTGTATAAATATATTTACACTAGTCTCTTGCCCGTCCTAGGACGGAAGTTGTAATAGTTACGAAAAAAATTGAGCAGAGTTATAATTGTATCTTGTGTAAATTTAATGGCAGTAAATCTTGCACGAAAGTATGTCATCAAACACTTCACTGCTTTTCACTGTAGCACTGTATTAATGGCAGGGAATCTTGCACTAAACGATGTCATCAAACACTTCACTGCTTTCGACTGTAGCACTGTATTATTGGCAGTGATTTTTGCCAAAAGCTATGTCATAAAACACTTCACTTCATGTCACTATAGCGCTGTGTATAATTGACCTTCAATTTATTCAAATTCACTGCTCTGATGCTTTATTCTCTTCTGCTTTCGGTCGCTGGGGTTGAAATAAATTGGAATTCGATACAATATCTGGAAAATCACCGAGAAATGTCTATTTTACCGTAATGTAGAAGCATAAATTAGACTTACCTTTTGTCTCAAGTGCTGAAGAAATAAATAAAGACACCAAATCCACTTTGTTGCTGCGTACAACTATATATTAGATTCACTTTCAATAAAGAGACGTAAAACTTAAAGCGAATTTGCGGAAAAAAATGCCTTTCCACTCGACCTTCTGCACGATTGTAGCAGTCCACCCGCTCATGAATATTAATGATGGGGGGGGGGTATGTTACGTGGAGTCACGTCGCGCGTGTTACACACAAACAGACATTCTTGGCGCATTATAGCAGTAATACTTTTTTATGCAAAATCTAAAAAAAATTGGCAATAAGAGGTGATAATCTACATCAGCCATGGTCAATCCACTGCTGGATGAAAGCCTCCCCAAAACCACATCCATCTCTCATGATCCTATGAATATTGCCTTCTGTATTTCCACTCAAACTGTAATGAATCATTATTACACTGCATTAGCAGTGGTGAATAATTCCAAAAGCAAAACGTATTTCGAATGTAGTTACTAACATTGACTTACAACTAGAATCTACAGTAGTATAGTATTCTGGGCAATGGCCATTTTTAACCCGCGCTGCTGCTACCTACCTTCCTTCTGTTTGGTCTGTGTTGCCTCTTAGCCGGTTTCCCGGGAGTACCATTACGGCCCAGGCTTCGGCTACGTCGTCGCTTTCCGGCCCAACGGCACGGTCACCTGGACGGAGACTCTCGTGCCGGACCCGGACTCGGCGCGTTACGTGCACCCCAACGCCAGCTCCTTGCCCTACATGCCCTTTTACGTCAAGGTTCGAGCCTTCAACCAGAAGGGGGATGGGCCCTACAGTCACGTGGCCCTCGTCTACTCGGCCGAGGACGGTGAGTCAGCCGGCCGCTGCCCCGACCCGTTGTTCCCGTTGCGCACGAGGGCGGCAGGCTTTGCGGTACGGTGGCATAATGCTCGCGCCTCGCAGCGAGAAGGACCTGGGTTCGATTCCAGGACTCGGGCGCCTTCCCGCGTGGAGTTTGTGTGGCTCTCACAATGTCGCGCGTGGGTTACCAAACTGGTTGTTCGGTTTCTTCCCGTAGCTAAGAAAGAACAAAAACGCTTTGTAACTGGTATTGGTCAAAATAGCAAAACGCTGAAAAATTACCAGCAGATTACTCACTTGGGATTACACATGGCAACATATCTCCCTCCTGTGAAAATGTATCCATGCTAACTCACGGTGTCCTCAGTGACCGTTCAACATTTACCAACGGTTGACGTCAATTGTTCGCTCGGGGTTGAAACCGGGTATGCAATAATAATGATGATTAATTCATTAAAATTCTTACGTATCAAATTTGCAGGTCAGAATCTTTCAATGACAATTATTGTAATTTATATGCTAATATTACATTTAAGTAATATTCTAAATGGAATAGACAAAACTTTACAAGTAAGAAACAATTCAATATGACACCGTCAAAACTGGACAAAGAAAACGATTTATCACTGAATTGAATCGTGACCCAGCATTGTGAGAATTAATGAAATCACTACAGGGGGGAGTGAGTCGGTACATGCCTAATTAAGCCTGTCAGAGCACTGAGCTTGTCCTAGAACCACCAAACAACTTGGTTCAAACCCAGGTTTCGGTCACCCGTCCTTAAACCGGCTTCTTAAGGGGAGCAAGTTTATGGGTGCACCCAGGTCTCGGTGTTACCGGCTCAGTATTAATGTTAACAGTAGTTTAGGACATTTAGTATTCACGCCTTTTTACAGCCCAACGCTATCACACATTCTGCAGCAGTTTCTAATTAGAGGGTGATGCTGCACGAGCAATATGTGTAATCCAATTGAGTCATTAGTAGATAATTTTTCAATTCTGGCATATTTGTACTTTGACGCCAGCATGCAATGGACCACTCTTTCCGAATTACATAACGGTATCGTAATGTACACTGTGAAGCAAATGGCGTGTAATTGACAATTAATCCTTTCCCATTCCGAGATGTCTGCAAGTTGCAGAGCGATTCCCGTTCACTGCTGAATCTCAGAACGCACAAGCGGCTCAATGTAAATTTTACTTAGAGAGGCATAGTGTTTTAAAGACATTGTACTCGCTGCATAGATCTGTAGCGACACGACCGCACTCTACAATAGCTGGCGCCAAACTGTGCCACACGCCCTTACCGCATGGCCTTGTGGGAGCCTCAGTTTCGGTTTCGTTTTGATGATGTACACGTACGTCATCAAAACGGGAAAGGGTTAATACACCTGTAGCAACAACCAGTTTATAGTAGCCCTGACACGGTCATTATGAACCTCCTGATCCATACAGCCAACGTCTGAAAACCACAGCGCGAAGTTCTGCGTCCGTGTGCGAACTCATGTTGTTGCTGTGCTGTGCATTTCTCGCCGTGCGTCTGCGCTGAAGAGCCGACTCGGGCGCCCGAGGGCGTGCACGTCAGGGGCACGTTGGCCTCCCAAATCTCGCTGGCATGGGAGGAAGTGCCACCTGAATCCTTCACCGGAAAGCTGCTGGGCTACGAGGTGAGGGAGAGCTCGCAAAACTCCCAGCTCATGCTTTCATGGAAAGACGCGACTAGAGCTGAGCTATACTATTATTGGAGTAATCCATTCGTTTCATGGTTGTTTTATTTGCATTTTTTTTCAAGCGATGTGTTTACTTTCTTATACTTTGCACTCCTGTTGTGTTTTTGTATTGGTTGGTTGGTTGATTGTTGTAATGTTCTCAACTGCACCCTGACTGGATATCTGTGAAAAATAGCTTTATAGCTCATCGGATTCCTCCAGTATGAATACATACTCTGATTCTGGTTACTCTTAACGGCTACGGGTTGGATTACTCGACTAACAATTTAATGCGGAATGAATTGTGAACATACAATTCTCGCCGTTGTTCCCCACGGTGTTGCTGAAAGGGAAGGTAACAGGCAGGAATTGGTGATGCCATCAGCGTCATCAGCCGCATCACACTGGCCATGGCTGTAGGGGGTTTCCCACCTTCAGAAGGCAGGATGTGGGGGTGGCCACAATTTTTGACGGGGCTGGAGGAAATCAACCTCAAAAAAAGATGAAGTCGATTATAATACTTAGTTGATTAATTGACAAGGTCAGCTAAAAATGTCCCAGCTCTAGATGCGACCCAATGAACAAACAGCTATTATTGAGATCATAGTTACTTCTAAGTGCACAGGAAACAGAATTACTGCCCTCAAGACAATGCATGAGGGATACAGCAATTACAAGTATGACCAGTTTCAGTCCTGGTCTACATTTTCCTTCTTTACAATCTAGGCCGCCAAGGAGAGTCCCAGCAATTGTTCAGAAAACCCCCACTGGCCAAAGACTTAACTCCGGTTCAGAGTGCAGTTAGCTAAGCACACTATGCCACCACTAACAGCATTGGCCTAAACAGTCCCTACGGCTTAACTTCATGTCCTTGGTGTTTCGGGTGTGTACAAGTGTTAGTGTACTGGTGTATTTGAAATTGTATGGGTGCTGAGCTGTGATCGTGTCCCCTTCCCCCCCCCCCCCCCCCCCCGGCATCCTCACCCCCCACTTAACCGTCGTCTTGGCAGATCCGCTACTGGAAGAAGGGCGAGGTGGAGGAGTCGGCGGACCACGTGAAGACGGAAGGAGACGACATAGCTGCGCACGTGTCTGGCCTGCAGCCGTCCAGCACCTACCTACTCAACGTGCGCGCCTATAACGGAGCGGGCTCGGGGCCGCCCAGCGACACCGTCAACGCCACCACGCAGCCCTCGCGTACGCCGCTCGGCCCACACGATTTAGACTGGAGGAATCCGATGATCTTTTAAGCTCTTTTTTTCACCGATGTCCAGTAGGGGGCAGCTTAGAAGGTTATAACAACGAGCAATACAAAAACACGATAGGAGTGCAGAGTATAGAAAAGGTAAACAAATCTATAGACAAGTAAAACTAATCTCTCTTTTTTTTATCTTACCAGGTAAGGGCCACTGAGCTGTTAGCTTCTTTTTCAGAAGCGACCTGGCCACAAATGGATAGCTCAATAAAGTGGATTTTCACGTGGACATTCATCGCGGCTAAGTAATCAAAATAATCTTAAATACGTCTTTCTAAATGAGGAGGGAAAAAACGTAGGACCCGGAGAAAAAATCCACACAACCACGGGTAGAAATATGCAAACTCCAGATATGCAAGCGCCAGGGGTTGGGGATCAAACCCCAACATCCTGCATACCAGGCGGGGAAGATAACATCACACCACCGCTCAGCACACCACCTGTAGCCCTGATTGCAGCCACATACCCAACACGAAGACAAACAAGAAGAATTCCTCCACCCAGTCAGTCGCTTTATTCAGACGGACGGGGTGAGTGTGCTTTTCGTCAAAGACAAAGTGTGGCTGCTGAGTCGGTCTTTATCCTGAATAGCAGTCTTGAGCAAGTGGTGGAACGTCTGCACTGCTATGGTTGGGGCTAGTTCCTGTCATTGAGGGCGATTACTGTATATTATCTTTATTGTGGAATTTGTGTTTTGAACCATGGAGACTTGAAATTACTCTGTCCAGGTGACTACCTCGACTTGCACCCATTGCTGTCTCAGTGTCAGGACACATGTTTCAAGTTTATTTTGTTTAACCAGGCAGGAACTTAAGGGAGTAACCAGGGGCATTTGTCTGCTGTCAGTAGGGGGAGATGATTGATATCTACGGTTACATATGTTACAAATTGAGTAATTTTCAGGGATTTTTTTTTTTACTTGGCCAGAATACAATAGCCTACAAAGTTCTAAATATCCTGCCCCTGTAAATGACGTCAGGAGAGCTTTAACATCCACTGTGAAGAAGCCGGCATGACTTAATACGGTAACTACGCTGGAATTCATAATCAGGGCAGTCACTGGATTCAAACCATGAAGCTGCGCAATCAATATGTACCCAACACACTACCACTAGGCCACATCACCGCCCATATAACAGTAGCAACCTGGTGGAGTTATCCGGTCACCAACCTTTCTGACCTTTTCAGCAGCATGCACTTCTCCTCTCCGCTGTGTTTTGTGGTTTCGTTCCAGCTCCTCAGGAGGTGCCGGTGATCAAGATGAAGAGCCAGCAGGAGTTGACCGTCGTCCTGGCCTGGAGTCCCATAAAAGCACACTCCAATGAGTCAACCCTTACTGGCTACAGGGTGAGTTGACACCTGGGTCAAGAGGTGTTAACTACTTGGCCTGGTATGCAGGAGGTCGTGGGTTCCATCCAGACCCTGACGCCTTTATATTTGGAGTTTGCTTGTTCTCTCTGTGGCCGCGTGGATTTTTTGTCGAGTCCTCCGGTTTTTCCCTACACAAAATCATGGCTTTGATTTTTCAAGGTGAATAATTTACATAAGGGGTGGCATTGGTGTCATGCAAATGACTGCTTTGACTGGAAGAGCCAGCATTGCTTGTGTGTGTGTGTGTGTCTTTACGGTGCACTGAAGCAGTAGCGGTTAGCACACTGCACTGTGAGGCCAGTATTCCGAGTCTGGCGTAAAATAGGTCAATTTATCCTTAAATGAGTATCTAGCACGATGTGTAAACACCGGCACCGGGGAGACCAAGGCAGCCGGGCGTGGTGATGATCACACCAACCCCTTGTGCACCATACCAGCCTTCACAGGTGCCATTCGCTAACAGCTCTCGCCCCAAGAGTCGGTGAAGGCTACACGGTGGAGGGGGTGGGACCTTTTGTCTGTTTTCGCTCGCTGCCACTACGCAGGTCGTGTATTGGTCCATGAACCAGCGGCCGATCGAGCGTCACGACTTCATAACCCAGGAGACGACGGTGCCTCTCAAGGTCAAGGTGGCGGGCGACTACATGGTGGAGACGCGGGCGATGAGCGTCGGCGGGGAAGGGCCGCCCGGACGCTTCAACTTCTCCATCGCGGATGGTGAGCCTGCACCTACCCATTCCCCCCCCTCTTGTATGTACATATATATGTTGAACTTCTTTTGCACAGTACGTAGTCAACAGTGCTAATCGGAGTTGTGCGGAGGAAAAACAACGGACTAAGCACAAAAAGCAGTTCTCCGGCCATGAGTGTTCAATTTCGATTTAAAAGTGCATAGCTCCAGTGGCTCAGCACTCCTTCTCCCCCTTCCTCTTATTCACATCACACCCACCCCTCCCACTCTTCTCGTGCATGACCACCTCTCCACTGGTCGCCCCCAAAGCGAAAGGAGCTCAAAAGAATTGGATACGAGGCAAAGGCGTCAGCCGCTGGTAGAGGCAGCAAATTCAACTTTGCACACTCCCAGCGGCAGAGCGCAGAATCTGGTTGACCATCTTGGCGCCAGCGTACCACTTAAAACAAAAGAAAATGTGCCGCGAGACGCTGCCAACAAAATCGTCTTTAACAACCTCGCCCGCAGCGGCAGTAAACAAGCAGCACAAACAAGACGTGTGCCAAGATCTCACCGCAAACCCTAAGGTGCCCACGTTCTGGCATCCACACTCGAGGGAAGAGGCTGTTGACGCACCGCGGGCCACGAAGCCCAGAAAAAGCCTCCGGCAACGACAAGATTTATCCGGAAACCCTCAAAAACTTGGGACCTTGTCGGCCTCGAGTGGCTAAGTGGCCTTGTTTCCCGACGGCCATTTAAGCAGCACAATTGCGAGAGCCTGGAAGGGAGCGAAGGTCATTGCCCTGCTGAAATCTGTAAAACCAGAAGATCGGGCCTGAAATTGCAGGCGTATCTCACTGCTGTCGACGACGCACAAGTTGATAGAGCACACAGTGGTCGCACGCATCGTGCCCACTGTCGAGCCACACCTACCCGTCAAACAAGCCGGCCTTCGACCTGCCCAGAAGCTGCTGTTTGCAGCTCCTTTCCCTCAGCAGCGACATCGAAGCTGGATTCCAGCGAAAGCAAAACAACCGGCATCACCACAAAAGACCTCTCGTCCGCTTAATGACACCGTCTGGAGACATGACATAAAACCAACCGGGAAAAACTCCGAGGAAGCACGGGCCTTCCGTTCCACCAAAACCCGCTCAACCCCCCATGAACTCGTCTGAGGTACCAGTCACCTGTCTGGGATCGCTACGCGAGACACTTGGATTAAGCAGGGGTCCACTGACGACCTCTGGCAAATGCCGTGGAGTTCTGCAGAGGTTCCTAATTGAAGCCTCATTGAGGGCCCCACCACTGTGCCACACCTCGGATTAGCATGGTTGGCTACGTACGGTGCGAAAGAAGCTCAACATATATAAGTACGGCTTTGTTTTGGAAAGAAAACTGTGGTGGCTCCATCAATCGCTTCAGAAGAGTGACCGCTCGCAGCTCCACACACCTCTTCCATGAGTGGGAAATTAGAGATGGCGACCCACAGCAGCCACCCAAACCAAACAATGGACCATATCACAAACAACTGCATTCTGCATGCCCTGCTCTCTGGCTACTCAAAAAGTTATCACATGGCTCACAAACTTAAACCTTGGTTGTACTATTTACACGAATATGCCATTCACTAGAAGATGAAGAAGAACCACAGGCAAGGTCAAGAGGTCATTTGGGCCACTGCTGTCGATGCCACCATGTCGCCATCACTTTGTTTCTGCCTTCTGTTGAGACTCCACCTTCATTGTCCACTATTACAGTCGCGCCACTACGGCCTGGCATTATTTCTATTTCCTTTGGTTGCTGACCTCTGGATGAGTGCCAGAGGTGTCTTGATAACCTGCCCTTAAGGCTCAATTCGGTACATGTCTCTCACCCACTGGAACCATCTCTTCTCAATTATATATAACTCCTTTGTTGTCATCTTATTCTGATCTTCCAAGTCTGTTACACTATCCTGTGATGAAATGTTTAGAATCCTCAATTATCAATTGCACAGCTAAACATATTATGATGATGGTAGTAATTATGGTATTGAACATTTTATTTTGCAGTTGAAAGAAGGATCAATCAGGAAACCAAATCGCAAGTTCAAGGTTTGTTTGATCGCATTGATGCCTTTCGCCAATCATGCTGTTATCAACTATTCTGCAGCATGACCTACCGCTCACTTTTACGTTCCACTCGCGTAGCCATGCGTCAGTCCATGCTCACACACGTGTTCGATTGTAAAATGGCAAATTATATCAATACTTACAATGCCAATCACTTAACTCATAAAAGCAGCCACACCATATAGCCCACTCAAGCAAAATTGAACTTAAATTATTATTGGTGCAGAACGCCTTTAACATGAGGCCACGGGTTAACCTGCTTAATGAAGCGCACGTTGCTGGAAAATATTGGATGCAAATATAAAATATCTAAATCATGATGTTTGTTGGTGCTAACACACTCTAATAGTCTTTATTAATTTACTGTGCTGTATTTCTGTTTCTTTGTCGATATTCTGTTGCGATTTTCCAATTGTGGGTAAAAAAAATTGGCCACAGGACTACCTAAGCATATATATATACAGTGTGTGTTCTCCTATAACACCGCGTGTTTTGATAACGCGAATTGGATATAACGCGATGAATGTATTTAGGGAACACATTTTTTAATAACGTGGATGCAAATTGGATATATAACTCGATTGAGTGAACAGATCTACGTCGCTCTGGTAGGAATAAGCGGATGTACGTCTACCTCTGCATAGCATCGCACAAGGCGGCATGCTGCTGGATGCCTCATAGAAGCTACCCACGTGCCTCAGTCTTTGTTCAGCCTGCATACGCATCTCACGTGTTATCGCGGACTGCACTTTACCCGATATGTTATTTTATTTCACGTGATTTTTCCAGAACGCGGTGTTCTTCAGAATCGCAGCAACCGCGTTATAGGAGAACAAACTGTTTTTGAACATATCTCTCTCTCATGAATATATATCCAGGTTGATCTGTGGTTAGAATTCTTAACTCGCAATTATTACTTGGCCCACCTTCGCTCTGAAATCAGGAAATGAGAACCACTTGTGGGAAAGTCAACAGTGGTGGTCCTATGAATATAACAACCCCTTCAATGGGACTGTGGAATTTCCACTACGAGCTCAGGGCTACCAAATAGCAATGGACACTGACCCATTCTCGTTTGAGCATGGAGACACTAACTTGGCTTTGAAGTGTGACAATACTATTAAAGCCAGCAGTTATCAACTCGAATGTGTCTCTATGCGTTGACATTGGTCTTGCCTGTTTTGTTTTCTGCTCTTCAGAAGCGAATCCCGGTGGAGGAGGACAAGTGGCTGCAGCATCTTTCTGGGGAGCCTTGATGGCTTGCGCCATTCCTCTCCTTTCCTCCGCCCTCCTGCTGGGATCTTCGTGAAGACGTCCCCTGAGCACCACCCTCTTCCCCCCCCCCCCCACAACATCTCCCTCTCCCCCCCACAGCATCTCCCTCCCTCTTAGTGTCTCCATCGTCCCTGTAACCCCCACCAACGTTCACACCCCCCTGTCGTTCCATCGTCTCCCGCTCCTTCTTCGCACGCCGCACTTTCAACGCGCACGCTCGCCCACACTAACCAAGATACAACCCGCACGGTCCCCACACTAACCCAGATACAACGTGCACGCTCGCCCACACTAACCCAGATACAACGTGCTCGCTCGCCCACACTAACCCAGATACAACGTGCACGCTCGCCCACACTAACCCAGATACAACGTGCACGCTCGCCCACACTAACCCAGATACAACGTGCACGCTCGCCCACACTAACCCAGATACTACGTGCTCGCTCGCCCACACTAACCCAGATACAACGTGCACGCTCGCCCACACTAACCCAGATACAACGTGCACGCTCGCCCACACTAACCCAGATACAACGTGCACGCTCGCCCACACTAACCCAGATACAACGTGCACGCTCGCCCACACTAACCCAGATACAACGTGCACGCTCGCCCACACTAACCCAGATACAACGTGCCCGCTCGCCCACACTAACCCAGATACAACGTGCTCGCTCGCCCACACTAACCCAGATACAACGTGCACGCTCGCCCACACTAACCCAGATACAACGTGCACGCTCGCCCACACTAACCCAGATACAACGTGCACGCTCGCCCACACTAACCCAGATACAACGTGCACGCTCGCCCACACTAACCCAGATACAACGTGCACGCTCGCCCACACTAACCCAGATACAACGTGCACGCTCGCCCACACTAACCCAGATACAACGTGCACGCTCGCCCACACTAACCCAGATACAACGTGCACGCTCGCCCACACTAACCCAGATACAACGTGCACGCTCGCCCACACTAACCCAGATACAACGTGCACGCTCGCCCACACTAACCCAGATACAACGTGCTCGCTCGCCCACACTAACCCAGATACAACGTGCACGCTCGCCCACACTAACCCAGATACAACGTGCACGCTCGCCCACACTAACCCAGATACAACGCACGCGGTCCCCACAGCAGCCCGTTCCCCTCGCACCTCCGATCAACACGGTTGGCTACATACGGTGCGAAAGAAGTTCGACATACATACAGCACGTGCAACACACAGACAAGAGTCCTCTGTTCCGCTGTTGTTTTGTACCTTTGTGGTTCGAGTGTTGTTCGCGAGCACCTATTTAGTCTTGCACAGCACACAAGAAGTGGTGTGGCCTAGAGCACATCCACGTCCAGCGACTCTTCCCTCCCCAGTGCTAATGTGCATGACCACACTGCACCAGGTATTCAGTGTGAGCTGGGTTAACCTCACGGATGCTGAGGACAGGTTCAGATAGAACTTGCCACTGGTGTTTTTATTATGGCCAGGAATCTATTATATGAAGGGAACACACAAAAAGGTATGTGCCTGCCCATATTTCTGGGACAGGGTCAATCACCCTGTGGATAGTCAACGTAAGCCTACTTCCTGCATATTGGCTTGGTAGTGATTGTGTATGCGATAATGATTAAATCGCCTACCTCGGAGAGAAAGATAACTTCTTAAACAGTTCGAGCAAGGTAGTCTCCGTGTTCAACTGAGATGTTATAGTCCTCACCTCGAGTGACAATCCAGATGGAATTTCCACATTCATGTGGCTTTTTTCACATGGGAGGAGCCAGTTGCTCCACAGAACACGACCACTTTTGAATTCCCACAAAGTTTCCAAGTGGTGCCGATTTTACTGACCCACCTGGAATCGTGACAACGTTGATGACATCCCAGCCATGTGTATATGCATTATTGTACAAGGGCCCTTACATATTTTAAATAGATAAATATCCGTGCGTGCGTGTGTGTGTGCGTTTATTCACAACACAGCATTTATTAGTCATCAGGTCTGGAACATGGGTAGGCATATAATCCGATTTGCTTACCAGGAGGGCGCAGGCTGTCTTTGAACATCATATCGATTGCTGCGCATATATCCGCATGCGCACACACACTCCCGACACCCGTTGCCAACACACCCAAAAGGGCACAAATTTTAATTTGCCACAATAAAGAGGACACAAATTTAAATTTGCCACAATAAAGAGGACACAAATTTAAATTTGCCACAATAAAGAGGACACAAATTTAAATTTGCCACAAAAGCGGTACACACTTTTACGCAGCCTGGCGGGATGATGAGCCGAAGGTTGACTGGCGACCAAGATTTAAACTTGCAATCACCTGGCATGAGACGAGTGTCTCTCTTCCTTCCGCAAGGCCGATCTTGCTCCTCCGTGTGGAGTGTGGCCGTTTGCTCACGTCGCTGTGCAGACCGACTCAATGTTTGACGCACTGACCGCCTGGCTATGGACAGCACCACACACGAATTTGCTTTCGTTTCCCTGCCATACTGGGGGGAAGGGGGGTGGGTTGCCATTGTCTATAGATGTGCCCGTGTCTCGGTAGACGTGACCACGCCGGTTCCTTTAATCCTGGGGAGGTTTCTGCACTCTCTAATGAACCTACCATGTATTTATTGCTTCATGTGCTCGTGGAAATTAAACCTATATTCGCAGGCTTTGCATAATTCTTACGCAGTACATTTGCACCACTTTAAACGGTCTTCAAGCCGCATGTTTTGAAAGAAGATCCCATTTACAATTTATATATATGTACTGTAATTACATAGACTGTACATAGCAGTGCCAGTACAGTATGTCATAATTACAGTATGTTCATATTGAAATAATTGAATGCAAATTACGTTTAATTCAGCAGTCCAGGGCAGTGTCCCAGTTGCATTTGTTTTGGCAAGCCATATCTTAGGTGAGTTTTAACATCGAATATCATTAAAAATATATATTTTACCAGGCAAGGCCCACTGAGATATATAGCTCTTTTTTCAGAAGCGACCTGGCCACAAATGATCGATCAACGAGGTGGCCTATCACGTGGACATTTTACAGCAGCCAAATACTCTAAACGCGCGTTCCTAAATGTGGAGGGAAAAACCAGGGAGAGATACACGCAAACTCCAAATATACAGAAGTAAGGGTGGGAATCGAACCCACGACCTCCTGTATATCAGGCGAGGTCGTTAATATCTCGCGAGGTGTGTCCTTTTCCTAATTAGAATCTTTGATTTTAATGTTACCCAATTAGCCACATACAACAAGATAGTAACATTGTGCTACGCTTACAAATTAATGCTCTACCAATCAAGGTCTAACTCCAGGTGGCTCTGAGCACGGCTCATTCACAATTGGCTGCCTATTGCTCACGCCACCTTAATCTCTCCCGGTTGAAGCGAACCACTCCGAAACTGCTGTAATAACGTAAACGCTGTGTTGGCCGGGCGTAAAGGTACGCTCATTATCCAAGAGAAACACACCTCTGCATATCCGAGGCGAAAATTTGAGCTATGCACGCACCTCCACCCAGCTTGGCCCCAATCTGTCTTCTGATGAAGGAAATTGTGTATTAATGAGATGGCATGGACTGGAGTCCATGTGGAATGTGTTCCCTCATGTGCAATCTTAGTTTTAATTGCAATTTCCATGGCTCTCGTTTGGCATGCGTGACAACATTGGGCCCAGTGAACTTCTAAATCTTAACACGTTAAATTGCCTTGCGTAATATTTTTGACATCAGACACATTCTGGCACTATCAACTCTGAACAACTCTGAAAAATGTTGCTAAAACTAAAGCCAACCCACTGTTATTGGTACAGGACACATTTCGGGCAACACATTTTTCATACAAAATTTTGCCCTGTCTTTATAAAAAATATATATACTTGCATTTAGAGAACCACTGTCGGACGTTGTTCATTGTTTCATTTTGTTGTTTTTTTTTGTTTATTTTTCCAGTATTTGCTAAGAGCTCTGCTTTTGTCATGTTTATCAGTCACTAATATATTTTGTTTGCAGCATAAAAGACTCGCAAGACATTTTTCAGAGACGTCTAACACCACACACATTGACAACATCTACTTTAACTTGGCAGTACTATCAAAATATTTCCTCACTATATATGCAGTATATAATATAAGGATTTGCTTCAACTCATTTCCAGTAAATGATTTTCGGTAGGGTTTTGACTGGATAAATACCTGGGTGCAATTGATTCTGAGAATGCATACAGTGCACGGACTATATTGATTTGTAATTTGCTGCATAACACTGATAAGAATCGAGGTGGAAGTTTTTATTTTCACTTGCGTTTATACTTTTTTTAACATCACCACGTGTCTGTGAAGACACAAAGTGTGATCACAAAGTAAGCGGTCTGACACAGAAACAGAGCTTAACGAAACCGACTTTACTGCATAGCTCCTTCTCAAAGTTGTCCATCTTTTCCAAGGCTCCATTTGTCTTGCCTTTTAAGTAATTCGTTCTCAGTTACACGTCCTCTTAATTGTCCACGGAAAATTGCTTCCGTGCAAAGTGACTCGCTTAATGTGGAAACGTGGATGTCGCTGGGAGGACCAGGTCTGGAATATGATTTGGTCTAGATTTATCTGAAATAAGATGTCAATTATTATTTTCTTCGGACTTTTCTGGGGTTTCAGATTTTGTCAGACCCATGGACTTTTTAATCACCCTTTGTGTTTGCGTGTAAAAATTTTAGTAGAAAATGTCGCTTTAGGATTTGTACATTGTTTTCTGAACATGTCCCTGTAGGTAGCTTTGCAATGTTACACTTGCTCAAACGATATATGATCGGCTATGTGCATTGCCATGCGCAATCTGTAAAAAAAATGGGTTAAGTGAGTTGATGGATGGCGTATGTTTAAGCCACTGTTTTATTCGGAAGGGAGCATGATCTGATTGAGCAGTGCTGTGGCTACGCGTGCTTACAAACATGGGTTTGTTGTGAAGTGTCTTTCAGAAAGTGAGTATAGCACACAAATCAATGTTGGAAACAGAGGAATGAGTTCCACGTGAAAGATGTCGTTTTAATATTAGCCTGTGCAGGAAAGTAGTGCTGTGACCCTTGATACAGCTGGTTACTGTAGTGTATCGCTTACTAATACTAGGCTCTTAAATGTGTGAATTTTTTTGTGTGTATTGCTCACGTTAAAACGACGTAGCTTTTTATTTTTAATTTCCAGTGCGCTGTAAAAATGCAACGCCCTAAGTTGCTTGCATTGTTATCGAATGCACTTTCATTGCCTGTTAACACATTTTAAATGTTGCTGACCATTCAAAAACACACTTAGGAAAACTGTAATACTCGTGAATGGTTTCAACATTTAAAGAGTGTTGTTAGAAATATGTTACCTTATAGAAAG